GATAAATGAACAGTGCCATGGATTGCTAAGTGCTAGTTTGGTTAATACGATGGCATGATGTTCCTATTTGTTGAACATAGGTAGGTAAATTCCCGTGTCTCGTACGCAGTTGGGGATGATATGTCCTGTTGAATAGTAGCGTGCCTGGTAATAGGATTAACTGTAGAATTCGCAATAATAATCCTTGATTCTAAGCACGGAGTTATAAATAGGTGTTAAGGGGGGTAGACAACTACGTAGGTAGAGTTGTGGTTTTTGTGTTTATTGCTATTAAGGCCTTACTTAGACTATATAATCTCACTGATATATTTGCTGCCATTTGTAGATTAAAGAGGGGAGAAGGAGGAGAGAGGAGTTTTTCTATAATTTCAAGTTAACTCTTCTGCCATCGTTCTTTAGTAGCTGTCTAAGACTTAGCTGATAGATATACGCTTTGCTTCTGACCTATAACAGAAACTAGATATAGTCAATATATAATGTCTAGGAAATGCTGTGGTATACTTATTCGCTACGATCTTCTCTTGCTTAGTTCCTCCTTTCTAGTAAGCTCTTCTCTGTTCCTCTCTCCTTGTATAGTATTACACGTCCGATTTAATCAATCGTTTAAAACATATACTAGCTTGGTGTAACTCGCATTGTTCTTCCCGAATGCCTACCTATAGTTATGTCAAGTTGGTCGCCGTTAGATGGAATGATTAACTACTCTAGCAACCCTACTCATGATTAAATTGGTTTCTTACAAACATAAATCACCTAGTCGCTCTACGCAATCAACAAACGAACAGGCACCCGCGGATTCTCATAGTATATCGGGAGTCATCCCTATTCTATTCTTGTTGGTATCGTTCGTTTACTGATTCAAAAGGTGCGACTATATTACGTGTAGTCTTCAGAAAACAATCCAGGCCTTTCTTCGTTTACGATGCTCGATAATTTGCCCTTCTATATGATACTTCGCCAGCTGGGGGCGGTTTCAAACCACTCAGATACAGTCGTGTGCGGAAGGAAAAGAGTTAGAAGCTGAAAAAAAAAAGGAGGAGCAGAGATTCGAAAAAGAGAGGGCGTCCGCGGGGAACCTCATTTCACGTCCGACTCCGAAATGCTGCGCTATAACGTCCTGTAAGCATTGAAAGCACGCATATGCCCCAGACACCGGTCCTATTTTAGAGCAGCGAGACAGGTTAACCTGTCCAATCTCGATTATATCCGCCGTCTATCCTCCTATCCGATTGTTGGCCGTGATGGAAACTTGGGGTGCGAGATAAAAGGTATAATTATTCAGGGAAGCAGAGCACTTAGAAGCGGAGTGCCGAGAATCTCCGAGTCGGCAGTCATGACACGTGTATAATCATGAAAGAACCAGACCCATTGCCGTAGTGTAAGTGTTGCCCGAGAGATGGCTAGAGGGAATCCAAGGGGTGTCTCGAGCAGTTATCCAGGGGAATTGTTCTGGGAGTCAGAAGCTTCGTTGCGACATCTAGCGCACATGCACCAGCCACCGAGACTGCCACTCGCCCACTCCCTACGTTCTCTCACAGGTAGATCTACATCACAGTAGTGATTGAGAATCTCCTCTCCGGCTTCTATACCTCCTGGTGCATTCCCGACAACCCGCCTCTCCCGCGCCTTTAGTACCATCCGACCGCCCCATTCCCACGTAACATTTGGGTTGCAGTCATGATTGGCAAGGCACCAGTAAGGGTGCACGGCGGCGACGTCGGGTCGCCCATCTCTAGGGTTCTTTCGAGCCGAAGCGGTGCCACGAAATTTACTATACAAGGTATTAAATACCCATATATCATAATCGGCAATGGTGGCGTAGATGTCGATGTCCATTTTCTCAAGAATGTGAAGAGGCGTCTCGATATTATAAGAAAAGGAGAACGGAAGCGTCCAATCCGGTGGTGGGCCGGCCTTGGGAGATAAATCAATCTCATTGGTCTGGGAGGAGATGAAGTCCCCCCATAGATATTTAATTTGGTTGACGTCAAGTGGGTGTATTCCTTGGTGAGCTGCCATGGCTAAAACACGCGCGAGCAGCAAAAGATGCAAAGTTGCACCGGCGTCTTTAGCATCTGGATCCCTGGCGATCGAATCCGTATCCTTGTCGCAAACTGCTGGGTGGTAGAGCTTCTGGGCCTGCTCAAAACAATACTGGGTACAAAACACAGTATCATAGCATTCTGGACAGTTGACGGCAGTCGAATCGCTTCCTAAAGGTGGGAGCTCCCCACTGCAAGCATCACAGACAGACTCCTTTAGGCGATTATTGGCCGTAACCAAGGAATACTCGACAAGTACGTCTTCTCCCGGCGCGATGTATTCCTTGGCAAATACGCCGAGCTGGTTACATGTTGGAATTATATCGTACCCATCCGTGCGGCTTGGACATCCGAGCAATATAGGTAGCTGTGCAACTTCGACAGCACATTTAGGTGCTATCTCAGCCAACCCGGCGTTAAGGATGGCCAAGGATTCGTCTGAAAACCGATCCGGTTCGTAGCTATTCCAAGGATACACTTCTCTACGCACCATGCCCCAGTCCGGAAGATCACTCGCAGTGGAGACCGGCTTGCGTATTCTACGCTCGCTGACAGTCTGTATGTAGCTCCGCGTATTTAGGAGCTCCTGGTTATTCGGCGATATGGCAAGACCGCGCTCGCAGAAATTGTAAGCACTCCTTAGACAACCGCATAGCAGAAGATTCAAGGACAATATTTGATAACAGCGAATAGACGCCAACGAAGCGAACGCAGGAATGTCCTTTTCGCCATTATCTGACAGAGGCAAACGAGACTGGGTTCCCGATAGAGAGCCATGGTCTAGTACCTCTAGAAAGGGACCTTTGGCGTAACCTGTCAAGGCCTCGAAGGCTTGGGTATGGTATTCGAAACTCTCATCGCGAACTTCGTCGGTTAATAACAGAGCGCGGTAAGCGTCGCCAGCCGCTAAGTCAGGATAAGCCAAGTCGGAGTAGACCAATGCGCGCTGTATGTAAAGGATTAGGTCGTATGGATTCTCCAGCAGGTCATTAGTCAATGATTGGCGCTGTTGCAGAAGCGACTCGGTGCGAGGGTCGACCTCTTCCTCAGACTCGTCCATCACTCAAACACCCGCTAGTGCTCTTTTATACGGGAATCGATATGGGGTACCGTAGGGGAAGCTCGATAACGGTTGGGTGGGGGTTGAACCGCACTTCTGATCAGGGGCACGTCATTGCTTAGTTGTCTATAGATCCTCCTCGTACGCCTTGTATCGTCCTTGACGCCTTGTAGATAGGTAACCCAGCGAGTAGGAAGCTAGCCACAGATCAGCGTGGCGGGTACAAGATGCTACGCTTGTTTGAACCTAGAATCAAGATTTTGGAAAGGGTGGTTCTGTAAGATGTCTGATGATCGTCGGCGCGCGTTTTCGTTCCAGGTTTAGTTCCCGTTCCGCGTTTCTCGGTTGCGATCGATCGAACTGATCGAGGCGATCTCTAGTAGACGATCTCTAGTAGAGTAGTAATGTCGATCGATATGATGTTTATTTAGATATTGTACTGTTCTAGAAGATGGAGTTGGGTGGGGGTCTTGAAAAACGTTAGGGTTGAGAAAAAAATAAGCCGAAAAAAAAAAAGCTTATAACCCGTCTGAAGATGTTGGAATATTCTCGCAAGCGTAAAAAGTTATATAAGTCCGACAGACCCCTCCAAAGTGTGTGCCCAAGCTATGTGGGTTACTATGTGGGTGTGAGTTAGAATGTGCAGGATGTGGCACGACCCTTGGGTGGAGCAATGTTGGAAAATCTGGATGAGACGATCAGCCTAGAAAAGGACCCTTGGTGCTTCCAAAAGAGTGCTTTAAGGGTTACCTCTAAATTCAGGGTCCACAGGGGACCGGTTTCCAGTTTGTAGTGTACCTAGCTAGGTCGCACATGTTTGTTGATTTAGGTACGTACTAGCGGGGCTGGCCTGCGGGGTTACGGGCATGATGCAGTGAACCCAAGGCAACATTGACATACATCCATGTATGTTTTAAGTAGGTACCTACTTAGGTATGTAGGTACCTAAGGTAACTATGCAATTTGTGATTCGAAGAGTGATTTTAAGTCTTAGGTAATAATACGCATATCAAACATCTTGACCATAACTTCGATGCTTTTTTCTTTCTTGGTTTGTTTGCTTGTTTTATGGTTCGATCGTATTATAAGCATTGGATTTATTACTTGCATTATCATAATATTTCAAATGGTACCTAAACAATCGAGACCCCCCAAAAATACAGGAACAGCCAAACTCTAATAATAAATTTTTTCTCCGGTTATTCCGATGATCTATCAGACCCTTATCGAAAATTTTCAAAGTCTACGCTATGGTGTGATTTAAGCTACTGCGGAACCTCGCTACAATGTAACTTTATAGTTTATGACATTGCTACTGAGCCCCACACTCCATATGTTCCTCTGTCCCCTTATCGTGAGGCTCTAATGTGCCTAAATAGTTGTGAAAAATATAAGCAGCTTACAGAAGCATATTGACTTGGCGTAATGTTTAAGTAAAATTACCTAATGTAATAAGAGTACTTGTGGTTAAACTTTATAGGGAGTATACATGTAGATAAGAAGCCATCACCAAGCAATGGATGGACAAGAAAAAGGAGGGGAAAGGTAAGTAAGGGGGGGTATATTAAACGTCTAGTTGATCTTTTATGTCACACTAGAGACTTAACTTTTGTTTTGTTTTGTTTTGAACTGAGTCCCTAATGCGACATACGGTGATATTAGCTACTAGTCATTTTCTTGCGGCTTTTTGTTTTCTAGAAGTATTTCTTAAGTTATTAACTACCTTACCAATTGTGAATTGTAGGAGCCTGAAATTGAAGTTTCGGATTGCTCACATTTAGACGGTCTTCCTAATTGAGCCAATAGGCTATGAGCTACTGTTTTTAATCGACTTACTGCGGCAGTTGTAATAGTATGTATAATATACTTATCATGTGAACCAAAGGTTTCAATATCGTGTCAAAAGCTGCCCTTGCTGGGAATTTAAAAGGGAATTTTGTCGTAAACACTATCGGGTACCTTCAAGAGCTTATCTACATTTTAATACAGACGTATACATAATACAACGCGGATGATGAATCCCAGTCTTCCGAGAATGCAATGCTACCCTTTTAGCTGTCACCGCAATACCCGATGATAATACATAAACCTTAATGGAACTGACAATGTAATCTTATACCTCACCAATTGCGTAGGTATGTTTGAAAACGAGCGTGGATGATTCTCTCCATCTATTCGGGCTTCTTGCTAGCCGCCCCCTCTTTGACCATGCCTTCGCAGCCTGTGGCTTGTCCCAACTTCTGTTCGACCTTGCCAAACCCTTGAGATGAATCGCGGTTCTCGCCAGCCGTCTTCATGGTATCTACGGCATGGGCCTTGGCTTGCTCTCCGGAGCTAGTCCAAGCCTGCGAGCCCGTGGCGCTGCCGATAGCTGACTGGTCGTTGTTAGCATATTTGTAATAAGATAATTTCATTATGGCCGATTAGACTGACTTCTGTGGCTCCCTTGATGTATTCGGCATGGCCGCCGATAAGAGAGGGCTGCTGACTGTTGTTTTGTGAAGACATTATGCTTGAGTTGGGATATGGTTGTGATTTATGATGACTAGTGATTGGTCCGAAGAAGATATACTGCTATTGATTGATATAAAAAAAGTAGGTATGAATTTGCTGGAATGTTGAAAGACACTGACTTTATACTTTATAAGAGGTGCTTACTCGATTTCTACTTACCTGTTCAAGTTGGTGACGTCAATGGATTTATGACATTCATGACACAATTGGGTTACACACGAGAATATCTTACTTTAAAACTGTGGGGGAATTTAAGAATCTGGGGAAGATCTGAAGACGTTATCGAGGACGGCAAGGGTCTTGGCATCGAAAATCCATGCAGCCAATCGAACCTTTCTAGCTGATCGAAAGTGGAAGGTAAGATTATAAAGGTATTCTTTTACTCGTCTTATAAAACTCGAAGTGAAGGCATTTGATGTATTGAGTAGGAATAATATATAAGCAATAATTAAAACTACAAAGATGGGGTTAGTTCTAGACATTTACACATAATCCCTCATATCGATAGTAGTGTCCGTGCGATAACCCGCTGTCACTTTTATAAGTGTAACCCATTATCTAGCTAGTATCGTGGTATCAAAAATGTAGTAAATAATGCAGCGTCTTCGAAGCATTTAAGGGTTAGTGCAAGATGAACAATAAAAATTATAAATATAGCTACCCGTACGAGATATGAGTCATATTGCAAGGATTATCTCGTACGGACGTTTCAAAGGATGCTAAGGATGCTAATAAGCGGATACGCGCGAATGGTGATGTTGACGCTAAAAGACAACTTAGACAAGTCTATATAACGGCTTCATCTGCTTGAGGATCTATTGACTTTTATACCAAAGCATTTCTCTTTCCTTTTCCTTATAACTATCTCTAAGCAGCAACTCATAGATATATACGTTGCGAATCGATACCGATCAATATGTCGTCTACAATCGGAATTACGACCCCGGCACTTGCGCCTCTCTTGCGTAAGTTATCTCTACCTCTAACTATCTATACTTAAGCTAGGCCCATAAAGATAATACTAACAGCTATTCTCTCAACGATAGCTGTTACTGGTACTTTTGCAATGCCATTCTCGGCATACTTTGTTTTTCTAAGCTGCCGGGTTGTATACCACCGTCTCAAGGACCAGTTTTATGTCGGCGACAATTCATCCAAGAATGGTGACCCGAATAACAAGTTGTACCTGGCTAGCCGCTGCCACCAAAACTTTATCGAAAATGTACCAATGGCTCTCATCATTGCAGCCTTCGCTGAACTGAACGGCGCAAACCAGAGAACTCTCAGCAATGCCCTCACCGCCCTCTTGACTTTCCGAGTTCTACACGTGGAGCTGGGTCTTATTAATGGATTAGGCTTGGGTCGGCCAATTGGCTACTGGGGCACCATGGCTACGACTTTGTGGTTGGGCGGGTATGCTGCGTATCTTGTGAAGGGGTACTGGGGGTTCTGAGGGGTTGAGAAGCATTACTGGCATATGTACATTAGATGCTTGGTTTTATTATACACCTCTGTATGAGAAGAACTACATAGAGTTAATATTCATAGTGAAGCACTTTTAGTTTAGACTTGAAGTTTAAAGAGAATATGAATTTTAAGTGTGGAGTACCTACCAACTTGATAGACTTGTACCTGCACTTTAGTGGAGACATTATGGATCCATATATCTTGGCAAGTTCGATAAGATAAAGGACATAAGCTCCAAAAATCCCCCCCAGCTCTTTAGCAATCGCGAATCATGCGCCAAACATCTTCCAGCCTGTAACCTAATAGATTGATTACATTTTCCAGAATAGACGTCATCTAAATTAGAAAAATTAGAAAACCTACGCCCATTCTATTAAACTATTAAACTATTAAAATATGGTCGAGGAACCACTCATAGACGAAGAATATGCATCTGATGAAGATTCCGATTTCGCGCCCGATGCAGCACCATTAGATATCGACGCCGAGGCTTCAGAATCTGAAGATGATGAAGTCCAACTAGTCGCGGTACCGAGTAAGAAGCGAGGCGCCGATGCAGATGCCGATGCCGACGATGGATTTGAGAACTCGGGCGACGAAGCGATAATACAAAGGGGCAAGAAGAGACGAAAGAAAGAAAAGCGGAAGGATGACAACGTCGAGGATGATGAAGGTGGCGAGGGTGGGCTAATCAAGACCCGGAGTATGCGAGCAGCGGAGAAGGTCGAAAAGAAGTCGCGCACAGCCACCGGCCCAGTAACGATTGATGTGGACGATTTATGGGCTAAAATGACCGCCGCTCCCTTAATACCATCTAAAGCAGACATAGAAACGGAAAAGGAACCCCAAAAGCCAGTTCAGGAACAGGGATCGGATGGACAATCCAAACGTACAAAGGACAGACCACAAGCAGAGAAGCCAGGTGGAGATGAGCTGGCATCAATGATCAAGATAAAGCGTACCTACAATTTCGCTGGTAAGGTGCACGTCGAAGAAAAGCTGGTGCCTCGAGATTCGGCGGAAGCGAAGTTATACCTAGCATCTCAAGATCCCACGTCAGTCGAAGACGCCAAAGCCGAGGATAGTCAGCCTAGACGGAAACCTCGAAAAGCCTTCCGATCTATATTCGAGCCCGTCATCGAAGGATTTACACAGCGCGCAGACTTGAATCTCGGCATAGATGCAAGATTACAATTGCGCGAACAGGCAAAGGCCAAGAAGCTTAACGTGGTCGAGAAGAGCCGCATGGACTGGGCAGGATTTGTCGATAAGGAGGGTATTAAAGACGAACTCGAATTCGCTGGGAAGTCGAAAGAGTCTTACGTCAACCGACAAGACTTCTTGGCTCGTGTTGCGGCTAATCGAGACGAAGAAGCAAGGAGGGCGAGAGTTGCCGGTCGTGCTTGAGAAACTTGAGGAATGGGTTCATCTCTTCACATTACTTGGAGCATGTAGCTCCATTGCTTGGGCTGAGGATACCGGGAAATGTGAGGCTGGGTAAGGTGCATAAGAGTCGTGTCGCTTTAACTAAGGGAACTATTGTGTTATAGTAGAAGGCCGGTGGCAGAAAAGACTATTGGGTAAGGTAGCGATAGTGCTCTGCCAACTAGAGTCAATGTTCCACATGGCATACACTATGTTTCTCGACATTTGTTATACGGGTAGAGTGGGAATATATCATTAGGAAGCCTTACGATAGGATGGGTATGCGTTTAGTCCAAGTTAGAGACTTGATTAGCTGCAGGTGAGCCTTGACGGATTAAGCTTAGGTACCTCGTAGGTACATAGTACTATGTACCTTACCGTCAGGTCCCAACTCCAATTTGGGGAACTGAGTGACCCGACCTATGCCCCGCTCCCCACCCTACCTGTGCAGGGGCAGTTTGTGTGAGAGACCTGACATGACCTGACCTGTGTAAAAGTTCAGTAGACCTGTGGAATAAAGTTCATCTTACTTATGGACCAATTTGGCCATTTATAATTTAATTGATTAATACTCACTGAGTATTTATTGAGTACTTATTTTCCTATAGACCAATTTAGCCATTGATTAGTACTTATTAAATATTTATTAAGTATTTACTCTACCGATATTATTTTAATTTTTTTATAACAGTTATTATAATACTTATTTTGCTATATAGCAATTATGCCTTATATATTGTGCGGCATTTATATAGATAAATATACCTTATAAAAATTCGCTAAATGATAAAGGTCCATAGGTTAGGTGAACTTTATTCCACAGGTCTACTGAACTTTTACACAGGTCAGGTTATGTCAGGTCTCTTATACAAACTGCCCCTGCACAGGTTAGGTGAAGTCAGGTGGGGAGCGGGGCATAGGTCGGGTCACTCATGCTCCCCTCCAATTTCTGGGAAAGCAACCCCGCTGTGACGAAGCTCTGCCCCTCTATACTAAGTTAAAGCTCTATTTTATTCTTAGAGCTTGACAAAACTTCAACATTGACTATTATTTTTGAACATCCAAACCAATACTTTTACCTCCACCTACCAAAAACCAAAAACCAAAAACCAACAACTAACAAACTCCAACTATGGCAGCGCACATAACCTCGCCTAACGAGCCATTTCCACGGCCAGAAGACATCGCGGAAGCGACGACATCTCACCGACAAGGCTCGTTCATAATCTCAACGCGGAAACTGCCCATTTCAAAAGCCGGCCCTATCGAAGCTCTGGAGCAAGAGCTAGGCATCCCCGTGCCCGAGATGATCTTCGGCGACAACCTCGTTTCTGTGCGCCACGCGCCCTCCGGCTGGGCTGTCGAGTTCAACGCTCGCGATGCTTTAGACGCGGTGGACAAGACCGATCGGAACATGCTCCAGGTCGCTTACGCTAAGAGCTGGTCTGCTAGCCGCGAGCAGACCAGCGCTGGCATTAAAGATGTAGTCAGGCCGTACGATTGGAGCTACAGCACTACGTATCGGGGCAGCGTCGTCCCCCCCTCGTCTCGAGCTCCCCCGCCGCCGCCGGGTCCGGCAGCTACCGAGAACGACACTAACACGGAGGAATCCAAGAAATCAAGCGAGCAGGAGGTAGAAGGGGCCCAGAAGAACAAGTTCGAATTCACACCCTCAAACAATCCCATCCCAATCGAACTTCTAAAACGGCGGGACCCGATCCTCTTCTTCGACGAGGTCATGCTATACGAGAGCGAACTCGACGACAACGGGATCAGCATCTTCAGCGTCAAGCTGCGCGTGCACGAGCGGCGCATGCTGCTACTAGCTCGGCTTTTCATGCGTCTGGATAACGTCGTCGTGCGCATCCGCGACACGCGCGTGTACGTCGATTTCGCGGCTGAGGAGGTCACGCGCGAGTGCACGGCGAAGGAGCTGGGGTTCGAAGATGTAAAGCGGGTAAGTTTTACAATAAATAAATAAAATTTTAAAATTTTAGTCGTTGCTTGAAATCTCGAAATCTCGAAATCTCGAGGTGGAAAGGGGGAGAGGAATTAGGGAGATTGCACAAAAAAAAAGGCTGACTTGACTTCGTGTAGAAACTACTCATGACGGGCCTGGTACCCGACGCTGTGACGATAGCGTTGCGTGACGCTAATAAGATCGCCGACTTGCTTCCTACGGTGGAGCAGACTTTGGAAAGCGTCTCGCTGAGATCATAGACCTTAGATACGGACGGGATTATTTCGAATCTCGAGAGCTTATTTCTAAGGATCGGATTTGGTTGATCGGGGACTATAAGAGTAATGAGCAGGTGGGCAGGTTTATGAATTCTACGAAATGCATGGTTTGGCGTTCGCGGAGTTGGGCATGAGTAGAGCTTTGGCTCCCGAAAGGCATACGTTCACAAGTGAACGGTTTGATACATGATCATATGCTCAAAAGGGATAACATGGTATGAAAAATTATGGTGTATAGCAGCAAATGCAGATGGATTGGCTGGCATTGATTGAGGTATCGAGCTATCATATCACTCAAATAGTATACGATCTTCATGTCATTCGATTCCCCTAGCCCTTCCAAAGCGATAAGCATAGCCGACTGTAAAACACCTACCTAGCAACTTGATGAAGACCCATGCTAAGCATCATGCATCATGACCGGACAACTTTCAACCCTCAAACCCCAGTCTCCCAAACCCCTTTTCCTATACTCCTTGAATAACAATAAGATACTTTTCGAATTTAGCGAGCGCCTCGTGGTGAACTACTCTGCGTCATCTCCTCGTAGTCGAGCTGCCATTTATCCACCTCCTGGAACTTGCGCGCTGCGTTCTTTAGCTCCTCGCCCACTCGCGAGACCATGACCTGACTGCTTTCCTCCCCATCCTGCTGCTCCTCGTCGGCCTCGCCTTCTTCTGCTCCATCATCCTCGGACTCCCCTTGGTTCTCTTTGTCTGATGTCCGGCCATACGTGATCGTAGTACGTCTATTAGTGCTGGGAGTCTGCTTTGCGGTCTTACCGCGCGAAGTGGGACGCGCCCGTCCCGCATTCTGGTTCCTAGACTGTCCTGCTCGGGAGCCCGGCCGCACCGGGTGTCGTCGGGCTCGAATGTCAAGGTAAGAGAGCTCGTCGTCATCATCACCCAGGCCGGATATGTCAACCTCTGCTTCTGAATCCTCATCGTCGGCTCTAGCGTGTCTACGGCGCCGACGCGGTAACAAGCCCGCTAAATCTGCAGTCGTGACTTTAGGCTCCGGCTTGGAGGCACCCTTGCGCTTGGTCTTTGCGGCCTGCTGCGGCGGCGGAGAAGACTCGCGGTAATTTGGAGAGTAAGTTAAGGAGGGCGGCGAAGAGATATCGGAGACATTATCGTTTGCAACTGGGGTCCTTCGGAGGACAGAGGCCGGCCGTCTCAGGCGAGCTCGCGTGAGCGACTGGAGAGGCGGCCAGACCTCTGGGTCTTCCTGGGAGGAGCCGCTACTTAATGGAGGCGCCATGAGCTCCTCGTCCATAATGGGTGTTACGGGCCTACTACTCTGTTGTCGAGGTGGAGGAGTAGATGGGGGAGATGATAACTCTGAATCTGATCCCTGTACTACGGGATCCTCGACGGGTTTATTGTCTTCAAATGGGGACGATCTTGCGCGGCGTTCATGACCTTCTGAGGATTTTCGCTTACGCGAATTTGCGCGTGGTAAATCCTGCGGCGACACTGGACCAGCCTCAACCTCTCCGGAACGTCTCTTAGAAGGCTTAAGCGGGGTTGATTCGGCTTCAGGGGCAAACCCTTCTTCATCAGCTGCTTCTTCTTCTTCATCTTCATCCTGGTCAGATTCCGGCTCGGGCTCGGGCTCTAATCTTTGAGGACGTGGCTTTTGGGCAGTACCAAGGATACTAGGCTCTCGTACTCTCCTCTTAAACATGCCGATGTTAAATGTCGAGCTATAACCAGGCGTGTTGGGACCCGTCCGGCTGCTAGGACGAATGTAACCATCCTCCCTACTTAGAAAACTTCCCGCGCGGGGCCGTCGTTTAAAAACACTGGCGGACATAGTAGACGTGTCAGCTGATCGCTGCGCACTTGCTGGACCTGCGGTATCAAATGTTGTATTCAAGTCGTCAAAGTCTGAATCATCCAAGTCCAGTCCTGACATGTCCGCCATTCTCCTCTGTTGCGGGGTCCCGGCCACTTTGCGCCCCAATTCGACCGAATGTTCTGACGGTTCTCCGGGCTCATCTGCCCGACTGCTCGACGTCGAAGTCATGTTTTCTAGCCTATCCATGGCAGAGTCGCGTTGCTGTCGCGCGACCTCTAATGCCTTCAATTGGTGTGAAGATGTAGATCGCGTGCGCGTAATAGTGTTCGCATCGCGCATCGACTCACGTCTCTGTTTTGCCTTTTCCTTTTCCCGGTCACTCACATCGTATATATCAGAGCTGGTTTCGGCAGGTTGTTTCGGTACCACAACGGGTTCGGGGCTTTTGGCTTTTGCGACTGTTCGAGTCGACGCGACGCGTGTTCTCTTAGGTCGCGGCATAGTTGGTGATAATTGAGAATTATTGGGTGTGATATGCTATTTACCGAGAAATCAAATATTTCAAAACTCAACAATCCGTCAGTTCATGGCTGAGAGCGTTATAAAAATTATTGTTATGGAAGGTTGGGGGGAGGATGTGTGAGTGGGGAGAGTTGGGCGCCGGGAGCTTGACGCGTTGAAAGCGTGTTTAAAGATAAGACCCACAAACCTACCTAAACGAAAGCCTAATGGCTACTTCGTAAGTATTTAAGTACCTAACCTATACCTCAACATCCAATTTATTTTCAATAGACTACCTATACATACCTAGTGTAGGTAAACGTAATATCACGTGATTCCATTCAACCACACCACCGCTACCTAAATATAGCTTTTTATTATTTATTTAAATACTACCATGGGTTGGAGTGCTGGGATGAGTTAATAAATATGTTCATATTATCTGTTCAGTACTATCTGGCGCTATTCACACTATGGACGGCTAAACTAGAATTGTATCGCCCAAAGATCGTATAGAAACTGTAGAAGGCGGCATGTCGTGCTGATGAACATCAAAAAGTACGAGAATTCCCTCTCAGAAATGGTCATGGAAGAACCCTAAGGCAAGCTTATAGCCCCTTTCATACTCGACTCTCACCCTGCCATCCTTGAGATTGGCGCGGGCACTCATGAACCCATGTGTCTGGTCCTTAAAAATCTCGACATGTTTCGGGACCTTAAGGTTCTCCTCGTACTTCCTAACATCTTCGACGTCCTCGTCCCCGGATGCGAGAACCATTGTTGGGATCTTGACATTTGCGGCGTCCCCTGCGTCAATCATCCCTGGGGACGTCTGAACCGCAACCTTAAAGGGGACCCTACCGTGGCCGGCAAGTATACTAGCCATCTTACCTCCCCAGCAGTAACCCACAATACCCCATGATTTGATACTGTTATTGTGTACTTCTGCTGCCCCCAGAAAATCTCGGACCTTATGCATATGGTTCGACCACTACAAATATCAGGGTTAATATTTGCCCTAGTATGCATTTACAGTTCTTTTAAGACTCTTCTCGGGTGGGAGGAGTTGAGTAGTTCTGGAAATTATGAAATGAAAAAATAAAGAGTTATGGGAGACCCGTACCACAGCAACCTCCTGAAACCACTTGCCTATCTTTGCCTTCTTGTCGTCATCCGTTGGCGGGTACCATTCCAGTTCAGCCGTATTACCCTCAAAGAAATCGGGCATAAACACCTGATATTTCCTGTCCGCGTCGCCATACGCCAGAATGTCTGCTCCTTGGATCGTCTGAGGGAAAAAGCCGAAAATATCGTAAACTGCTAAAATTGCCCTATCTGAATCTGCCGGCCCAGTCACGTCTTCGCAATAAAGAAGTGTCATATCAGTGTGAGATACCAGCATTTCGATTTTTTTATTGGTTAATGCAAATACTCACAAGTTTTGGTACCGTTAAGTTCAATATACGTGCCCTTGGGCTCATAGCCCTCGTCAACAACGGGGGGGATTCTATAAGATGCGGCTGGTGAGTATAATGAGTTAAATATAGGGTTAACTGCTGGAAAAGGAGAAAAATGGTACTTGCAACATGCTTCGCTATATTTCGACATTTCGGCTTTTTCAGATTTTATGTAACTACCTACCGTTTAGAAGTCAGAATACCTATGACTTTATCTAGTATTCTCCTCTCGGTTTTTAAACATCCTCAGGAGGAATAGTGGAGCCTTGCATTATCCAACCTAACTATTAGCTAGTATTCTAAGCCTCAAATTGAGAGATCTGTTCATGGTATCTCAAAGCTATACCCATGTACCTAAGTGGATATGTGTAGGCGGGGGCATTGTTGGGTCCATTACTTTGCTTTTCATGTTCCTATACCTACCATATAGTATAGTAAGATCTATCATCTATACCTAGACGTTTCAAGTCCTATGTCTCCCCTTTATTGTTGAAGCACCTTGGGAATTTCACATCGTCGAAATAGAAAAGTGCTTTCATTTTAATAGTTCTTAGCTAGCTACCTAGGTTACATAATACAATTTCAAATAACTGCCCTGTAGGTAATTATCGATCCCGCCTATATTTATCTCGACCTACTTGTATTCACCCTTTGCTGCCGCATTCACAATCCAGTTGATTACTTCCTGCGGCTTGGTGTAACTAGGACAGTGCCCTACCTGCAGAGACGTGACATCGACCTTGTTCCCGCTCTCTTTCTCAATCGACTCTATCCATTCTCTCTGATACTTGGGCGGAAGAATGGCGTCCTCCTCACACAGCAAGTACGACACTGGGAGGTCCTTGTAGCCGGGGTATGTCAACTCAGAAGCAAAACTAGCAGATGAGTGGGTTTGGAATTTTCCAACGATTGCTTCTCTTTCTTTCGCGTCGGGAAGATCTGAGATTATCAGTGCAGCGGCGGCAGGTAGATCGACGTAATCCATCCAACCTTGCTCCTATTATGACGGTGTCAGATGGTGACGAATGAACAAGCAGCACGAATATTGAAGAAACGGAAAAGTGACTAACATCAGTAAACTCGACACGATTTTCGCTAGGCATTTCTGCGAGAAGACTTCGCGAAGAGCGTCCTACAGGCGGTACCAATGCTGTCATGTAGGCAAGCCCAACAATTCCGCCCCTTTTACCTTGGCTCTGCCTCTCTTTCTTGGTGAGTCCCTTAGTGCTTTCGGTGGTTGGCACACCTCCGTAGGAATGGGCGACTAGAACGACTATAGCGTGTAGCGTTAACATTTGACCTTCGCTATCTATATAAATTAGGTTTTAGGAGCTCTATAACACTTACTGTCCTTCCCCTCGTCCGCAAGTTTGAATATCTCCTTGGCGACAAAGGCAGCATCGTCGTACATGGTCGGCAGCTTTTCCGGTCTTGGCCCAGCCCTCAAGCCAACACTCGGGTAGTGCAAAGCTTTGATATCATAGCCTTTTGCCGCAATAGCATCGACGATATTATCGTATACCTCGGGCGGCGCGAATGAACCGCCAACGATCAATATTGTAGGCTTAGACATGTTGGAATATAGGTATAAGTTGAGTTTAATGTTTGATTTCTATCTTGTCTCGTCACAAAGAATTCTCAGGATATTGCAATTAAATAAATCTATCAGGTACCTATTTGATATGGACACATGGATTTATACTACTTTTTCCATTACGTATAGCATGAACTTATTTCTAGATTCTCGGGTGCTTTTTACTAATATGACATTTCTGCTCCAATTATCAACTCCCCGATGAGTTACTGGCTACATACTTGAGATATGTAATAGTACGTATTTTGACAATGATATTCGTTTCGCGCATCGTGAAGGGGCAGCTGATGATGCCGAACATGGTCAAATCGGAAAGATATATGCGCCGTCGCCTTGTCCGGATCCATTCCTGCAGTATGTAGGTAGGTAATATCACGTCGATTAGGTACTCCCCCGACCCATTTGTGTACGTGCCTGCTTAGAAATTTATGTACCCGTTGCTTAGAAAGGAGCCGATGCTTACCAAGAAGCGCTAATTAGAAAAAGTTAAGCTAAAGTATCTCCAGTTGGCGTTAACCCTAAGGTATCCACAATCGCAACTATTACGTGCCACTATATGCGGACGACTCCGAGACCACCAAAAATATTGGTCCCAGGCGGGCTCGAACCGCCGGCCTTCGCATTGACTAGATATAACTTCAATGTAATATTAGTACGACGCTCTAACCAACTGAGCTATGGGACCCGGTTTGGGAACATGTCAGGGAACATGTTGTGTTGTGTTGTGGTTGGTGAGATTTGGCTTACGCACCAAAATATATCAAACTTATTGCGTTCAACCGTGGGGTCGGGAGACTAAAAAGAAATTACTAAGACCAGTAAGACTTAGGAAGGGGGATTCACTTATGGCTCAAACTAAAGTAACTTGATGCATAAAATACTGAATTATTAGAGATATAATGGGATCCGACACATCTATCGATCGAGAGAATATCAATATCGCCAAGAGACTAAGTAATGAAGAACAGAAATCGGGACTGTGGATAATCTAAATACGTAAAGGTGATATCGCCAGTAATCCTTGTTCAATGTCCTTGAAGGAAGCAAAGACGGCGCTACTAAGCTAGATATTGTATGCTACCTTGGAATCCATTAGGATAGCTATGTACTTATCTAAATGCTACTCCCAGAAACTTGATTTAGCCTGACTTCGGAGCAGAGTCATCAGAGGGAGTGTTCGGAATCTCTGACTCAATTGGCTCGGCCCATCTCACAGTTTTAGGACTCTCGCTGCTGCCAAAATTAGATTCTGTTTTCGTAGCGTTGGTGCCATTCGCGCCGTTCGTGTTGTTTGGTGCGGGTGTGGTGCTTCGTGTCGTTAGGTAGTTTATCGCAATGTCTAAGTCGCTATCCTGACTGTTGTCTTGAGAGGACATGTTGAGATTATTGTTCTGGTAGTTGTCTGGCAGCAAATTTCTTTCATGATAAGTGAAAAAAAGTTCTCTGGGGGGGTTTTTTAAGAGGAAGGCCAAACTGAGGGTGCTCTATGTGTTTAAATAATCTTGTACATAAAGTTGCCTACGCATAGATTCCATAGTGTCTAGTTAGATAGGTATATGCAATAAAATGATGTAACTTGTGTAGATATTTCATGGCTTTCTGAATCAGTGTAAATACAGATATGATGGTCGTCTGACTCGCAGGGAATGAATGAAGACAGCCTTGACACATATCATAGGAATCTCCTTACACGTGTTTTGCCTACTAGCGAGTTTCACTTCAGAAGAAATTGCCCAAATTAGGTGTAACTACGCTGTTGGAAACTCTTCTTATCTTTTTGAAGTAATGGTACTACCCTACTTGTATTGTGTGTAATGGTGAAGCAGCAACTGTTAGTCACTGTCACACTACAATGACTACATCATAAAGATTAATAAAGGGGCACCATGTACCTGAACCACCCGTAGATTCACCAAAAGAATTGGGCAAGCACTTGCATAGGAAATCAATGGGGGAATTATTGCGGTACTCTGGGTTGGTCAGTAACTCGTTTTATCCTTCGTTAAGATAACACGCCACATAAATCTCAATAGTCAATCTGCATTTCATATTTAAACGTGACAGGACTCGCAAACTCTACTATGACGAATACACCTCAAACGGCGAGCTTGATATATCCCAATATAGCTTATATAAGCCAAGAGAGGAGTCACCAAGGGGATAATTGAAGGACTAGCAGTTAATTGTTTAGGTAGGGCTAAGATATGTATATCTCTTAACTATGCAACAAATATGGCAAGTCAATGGAAATAATCTTGTCATAAATATATTCAAAATAAGTCTTATAGGACTATGCCTATCGAGAAGTTCGGTACACTATAGTCTCCTAAAAAGTCAATTAATAATCCACATTAGCCATAAAGAAATTAGAGTAGAATCAAAGTTGAAATATGTAGATGCTTTATGTATTTCCGGTAATTATTATTTTAATTGTCAGGGAGATAAGTTACCTTAGATAGGCTAGTTAGGCACTTGAGTATAAAAAAGGTATACATTTATTCGGAATTAATACTGGCTGCGCTAATATGGGGTATTTTCTTCTTTTCACCAATACAACATTCTCTCCCTTTCCTCCCCGAGGCCCATTTCGGAATTCTTTAATTACACTATGGCCTCGCCGGTTTCATCTATTGCTGAGTTAGCACCAGAGATTCTGTTAGAAATCTTTAAACGGCTTGCTAAGGATAACAATGCGACGCTTGTCCCCTCTATCCTGTGTTGCAGAAAATGGCGGCCTCTAGCCCTGTCTGTCCTATATGACGACGTTGTTTTAAACCAACAACGTCTTGTTAAGTTCGTGGAAAACTGCGCAGACCATGAGATCCGTTCTCTCACATTGCGCATGGGTGCTATTCCCGTCAACCCCTATGATACAGCCGAAGCCAAGCAAACGGCTGAAGTTAGGCTAGAAGCTCTGAGACGACTTTGCTCACGGATTACGAGGCTTAAGCCCACGGTTGTATCAATCTTAGTGGATTTTCCATTTCCATATACTGGCTCAAGTGAAATCTCTTCTATTATAAACAACTTACCCGCTTCCTGCATAAGCCTGGAAATCGATATAAGATACGGCAGCGTCATCCATAACTTCGCTCTAGGTTCGCAACCACATTCGCACTTATGTGATTCTATCCGTGATACCCTCCCTCGGTTACAACACCTGCGCCTGCGTCTCCCACGGATTTGCCCTGATATTTTCTCTGTCCAGTCGCCCAGTCAGGGCGCGCACCGTCAAACCAGCCGCGCCGCAGAACTCAAAACGTGCCTTATTAATCTTTCCCTGCGCCTTCCTGGCACTTTATCTCGGGGTGTCTGGGCGACTCTATGCAGCGACGATATTGCCCAAACCCCATATGTTGGGTTACTAACCCGATTGCCTTCAGCTCTTCCTTCAGTTCTCCCAGTTCTGAAAGACTTTGCCTGTCTAAACTCCGTTAATCTTGAGAGGCTCTGGGCCATCGACGTGCAGCCCCGAGATCTAACACTGCCGCATTCCTGGTCGGCCTGGGTGCGTCGCGACTTCATTTCCAATGCTAGTTTTCCAATTCATGTACTCAACATCGGCGGCTTTAAACCTGACGCCTGGCTAGCAAGGGTACCATTATCAACGAGCCCAGAGAAGACACAAGATTGGGTGTCATCACCAGATGTTTTAGAGATGTTGGCTGAGGATAGCACCTGGATAGAGACCACTACTGGAGCCCGTCTACCAATGGCCATGCTACGAGAGGACCAGGACACGCGTGAGGCACTGACTAGAATACCGTTCTATGAGCGCAATCTCATCACTTGTATGTTATGGATAAACGAGGATGAGACAGGTGAAAAATTACTTCCAGAGGGGCCTGGAGAATTGATGCAGCAGTGGGATTTAAACGAAATAACACCGAGTGGTTGGACGAGGGACGCACACACAGGTTCGCCCATGGTTCGAGCATGACCTAGTTTAGAAAAATACGCTCTAGTTCAAGAAGCTGATATAGTGACAACTACTGAAGTGATCAACTTTCGTTTCTACGCTGCCAATAGCTTACTTCGCAACAGCCCCTTTTATTCAACTTCAACCGAAGTAAATGGATAGGGATATTAAATATATACAATAGAAGGGGTTTAGCCTCCATATTATTAGCTACCACTCTAATAACTTGTAATGATGATTTCCAGTAAATAGTCCCAATAATGTGATCAGCTGAATGCGATGTTTGTAGCTGTTAACTGTTTGTAACTAGCAGCCATTAGGGCTAAGCTCGGGCCATCTTTAAGCGCTCTGCCGTTTGCTTGTTTAAGTTAGTTTAAGTTAGGTACATAGGTAGTCACGTACCAGTCTGTAACTCTCCCAAAACGTCATCCCTTCAATCCCACAAGTTGGAATGATTCGTAGCCAAATACCTACCTGAGGTATGCTAAATATAATTGTCAGACTGATCCGTTACCATTTTCACATTCTCACTGAAACATGATAGGCCTCAGGTGTGGGTACACTGAACAACTGATAGTTTCCTTCTAAGGTTTCTTCTAAGGTTTCTTCTAAGGTTTCTGTAAAGATCTGCTAAGCCTAGGTACACCTAGGTACACCTACCTAGTACCTATGGGTAGGTACCTAGCCTAAAGTTGTCATGTTCATGGGGCAACCCTAGTCCATTACGAATTACTGCACCGGTACGTACCCGTACCCTATAATGCATCATGTCCCCGCTATTAAAAAAAATCCACCTCAGCTGGTCAAGCACATGTGAACGGACCGTGACTTCCAGATCATTCATTGTTTCTTATTGTTATGCGGTACCGATTGTACTACCTGACCATCTGGCATCCGAGACCTGGAGACCTGCCAATAGCGACCCACATTCTTATTTAATTCCCCTGCTACGCTGCCTCTCCATCCTTGCCATCTTCCCAATCCAGGTTGACGGTATCCTCCAACTACCACCAGGTAATTCTTTGGAAGCAACACCGAAAATAACCTCAGTTCTCTTCACTTCTTAATTTCTTCTTCTTTTTCTTCTTCTTCTTCTTTAACTTATTATTCAAAATCCAACGCTTCATTCCAAGTTACCCATGACCAAATACCTAGGTGGTAGCCTTGCCTTGATCCTTATTGGCAATTTAATATAACTTCTTCTTCTTCTTTCCCCACTACGTAGGCCTAGCCTCGCACCACATCGCATCCCATTGCCTCGCCTTGCCTCATTGGAATTGCACATCAATTAATTACCACGTGCCAATTACTTGGAGCTCGTAGACAAGCTCCGCCTCTTCCTCTTCTTTAATTGAATATTCGCTGCCTCTAAAATTCTGTCAGGGAAACGCTGCATTACATTGGTCCCCTCACTCTCACGACCAGCCGTTGCGGAGTCTACGTGGCCCTCACTACTCCACCATCGTCTTCCCGTCGTCATTCTCGCTACCGTTTTATACCATTTTTCTACGGGTCGTCCAACCATAATGGACTCGATATCCTCGCGTTTCCGGCGCACTAAGAGGGCTTCTCCTACGACTCCCCCCGCCGGAATCCTATCTGGATCACCTCCCGACAAATCATCGTCCGAAAGCAAACTTGGCCCTGTGGGCTGCCGTGAACCACCGCCGACCTTGACCATTCCAACCAACCATGCTTCTCGCAATGATCTACCTTCGAAATCGCCTTTTCGTCGAGGGTTCCATTTTCGACATTCGCATAAACGCGCCCGATCCCCCACTCCGGCTTCGTTACCTATGTCTGCTTCACCCGCCGTAGCTAGTCAGGATAGCGCAGTCGAACTTGGCAGATCGACACCAGCTGGCGGTATTGATGACAAAAGTGAGAAGGAAATGATCAAGGAAACCCCCAAACCCAGGATTCCAGCTTTCCTGAATCAGTCCCAGCAAGGTATGTCTATACCACGCTGAAAGCGCAACATTTTGTTTGCATATGTTTATAGTATTGAGATGCTAATAATCCCTACTCTAATTACAGATATCGAGGCTAAGTTCCACGATCTTAACTGGACGGAGCGTTTTCGTCTCCAGGAGTCATTGCATAACCCATCCCCAAATTTCAGATTTGCACGCGTTACGACACCCGAGACTAAGATCCTCGACCGGTACGCGAATATCCAACCATGGGCCAATAACCGCGTCAAGCTACAGGTGCCAGACGGTCAGCTCGATTATATCAATGCGTCGCCCATTACTCTTCGTTCCCTCCTAGATCCTCAGTCCAAGCCACCGCATCGTTACATCGCTATGCAAGGACCAAAATCCGGGACTATGGATCACGTTTGGCGAATGGTAGTGGAGCAGCTACAAAGTCCAGCTGTAATTGTGATGTTGACCGAGACACACGAGGGTGGAATGGAGAAGTGCTACCCATATTTTCCTCGGTTCGTCGAGGAAGAGCCATGGGTAATAGGCGAGGACGACGAATTCGGAGACGGTTTTCACGCCGAGATCAAGTGTGTTGATATCGAAGAGCATGCGAACGGTGCAATTGAGGTTCGAAAGCTCAGCATTCACGTCGAGGGCCGGGAGGACGACATGATTGTATGGCACCTTCTTTACCGCAAGTGGCCCGACTTCGGAGTCCCGGCTCTCGAGGACATTGACAGCTTCTTCGAGCTCATGCGTCTTTCGCGAGAGAAGAATGCGAGCGAGGACAACCCACGAATCATTCACTGTTCGGCAGGTGTGGGAAGAAGCGGAACATTCATGGCCCTTGAGCATCTCATGCGAGAGATAGATTCAGGCGATGTGGATCGTCTTGAGATGAATGCCACCAGGGGTGGGGAGGATATTGTCTATAAAACGGTTGACGCGCTCAGGGAGCAGCGCAAGCAGATGGTCCAAGCCGAGTCCCAGTACCTATTCATTTATCAGGTGCTGCGCAAGCTCTGGCTAGACAAGCATGGGCTTACCGAGCAGGATATCCGGGAGGAGCCCGCAGCTAAGAGGTTGGAGGTTGATTTCGACCCTTTTCTTGATGATTGAAGAAGTTAACATGGCGAAGATGAACCACGCGGCGGTATTCGTATCATACCATTCACCATTTTATAACGGCATTGCGATGGCGTTAAGAGGGGATACATTTGGGTTTCGGTACTTCTCTTCACCCATCAGACTTTTATATTACGCTATGGTCTGGCATAACAACGGGCACAGGATCATAGGAAGGCATACGGGTGCATTGGAAGTATCATGCATGGAAAGGCGTCCCTAACATCAACGGCACACGAGAGGATTTCAGGAATTGGGCCGTCTTTTAGGAGCAAATAAAGGTATGCATAGGAGGAAAAGCTTCTACAAGGCCTCTGGATTCGGGGGACGTTGTCATTTGAGAGATACCCTTTATATTAAATTAGCTGATATCAGATAGTCGCCGCATTGGTTTGTACAATTTGCGGGTTTAGGACGGTTTCACTGTCGCCATCGTTGGTTTTTAGAGGCACAGATTGTGGCGTACACGGTACAACCGCAAGAGTGGGTTACACGGCACAAGTATTTCACGTCCTCAGTCCTCAGATAATGATACATCATGAAGGTTACAGCCTATCATGCAGGTTCATGATGTAAAGGCACTGAAAGCCATATATCTGGTTGAACTTGAACTTGTAGCTGGGGTAGCTACCCCGCCTTGACTGATCCCAATCATCAACAGTCAAATAACTTACACGTACATTAGGTTAGTTACGGCGGTTAAAAAAGTAATAATAATCAAGAAATAATTCATAAACTCTAAATTGTCTTCTCCGAACTTTGCTGAGGTGATATAAGAGCTCTTGTTTGAATTTTTGATATTAGACCTTCTATTACCTATATCATTATTGAGGAAAACTAGAAAACCGGACTCCGGCATGGCAAACCCACCCGCGAAATCAGATCTCCTCAAGCTTGGGAAGACGTTACTAGAAAACGGCCCCGTTAAGACGCTTGCCACATCCCGCCGAGTACGGATCCTGTTCAACAACGTGTACGTAGCCGACACGACGTCGGCGCTCTATGTCTGGGAGCACGAGTACTACCCGTACTATTACCTACCAATAGAGTCGTTTACATACCGCCCGCGTAGTTTGCCTGGTAACGAGAATCCTCAGTACTGGACAGCAGCACTTAGCGTTGGAGGCCGGACTACGGACCGGGTCCTCGCCTTCGGGGACGCGCTAAGCCCTTCCTGTAAGCCGCTGGAGAAAATGGTGCGGGTTGAGTTCGCGGCTGCAGATGCCTGGTTCGAGGAGGACGTCCCGATCTATGTGCATCCGAAAGACCCGTTCCGACGGGTCGACGTACTACATTCTTCACGGCCCCTGGAGATCCGCGTTGACGGACATCTGGTTGCGCAGACGAACTCTTCGTATCATCTCTATGAGACGGGGCTGCCGTGCCGGTTCTATGTGCCGGCGACGGCGGTGGCGCGGGATAAGCTGAGGGAGAGCGGGACTACGACTGCGTGTCCGTATAAGGGCGTGGCGAATTATTATCACGTAGACCTTGGGGGTGACGAAGGGGGAGGACGGAAGTACGATGACCTGGTTTGGTACTATAAAATTCCGACGCTTGAGTGTGCGAGTATTGCGGGATGCTTATGCTTCTACCATGAGAAGGATGGGGTTGAGGTTAAGCTTGACGGAAAAGTGCTGCAGCGGCCGAAGACTCATTGGTCGTGAAAGTGCTGTCTGGATTAGGTAGGTAATGCATCATAATTTTAAGCCGTTCAGGGTATTAAAACATACTAGGTAAAAGGACGAAGAGTCTCGCAACATAAATAAATCATCAACTTGCGCTTAGATGTCCTGATTGGAAACCCCTTACGAGAACAGCATCCCTTAATTACGTACATGATGCTACAAACTACACTAACAGGTTTACTTATTTTCGGTGAACCAATAGTCACCCTGAGAGTAAGAAGCAATTAGTAGGCAATAATAGTATAAGCTTGACTAGTATATCCTCCTTTCTCTATACTTAAAGGACACCTACCTAGGTAGATGTTTCCAAGCTCATCAGGGCGGGGATGGTTTAATGACATTACAGGAGTTTAGTATGACTTCAGAGATTAAAGCAAATCTGATAGAATTAAGCTTAACGTGAAATGGTATACCAGTAAAAATTAAAATTTTCTAGGAATTCAAAACCAAAGCCAAATGAAGACGAGAGAAGCGCCATGCTTCAGCAATACATACTTGACCAATAAACATGAGGGCTTGGCAATGTTAAAAGACCATATTACAGGTATAACGTGTAGTTACTATACTAATGACCGGCCTACGAATGCTTAATTTCTACTGGTAATATATAACACGTCTACATGAAGCGTTGCCCTTCAATCAGTGAATAGTCATTGGAATCTAACTAAGAGTTTACTATAAAATTCATTTCCATGAATATATGTGTATTATAAGGTACCAAATATTAGTCTGTTTTACGAGAAAAATTCCTTGTATAGGCAAGACCTAGGGGACACTTTAAGGGCACAACTAATAGCCCATTACTATCGAAGTTCATAAGCTTGAAATGCTGTTACGTAAATTCAGTATAGCCCAGTTATAGTACTCAAAACGATGCCTGATCATGAATCCACGGAATACCAAAGTTCCTTAATACCTAGCTACGGAGACTATGTGATAGAAGCCATTAGTGACATCGAGTATAGGCATATGGAGTGTGAGCAAAATTTCGTTCTAATTAGAATCCCGCCTTTATCCGCCTTTAGAAACACCTATGCAGTAGAACAGAGAGTTAAGGTTGATTCATCAAAAACATTGGACAAACCCGAGACCGGCCTTGTCTACATCTCAACCAGTGAACTTTCAAACTACCTACCCCATTCCCTAAACTCCTGCTCGGAGCACTTCGCCCGCCATGCTATATCGGTGTTACGTCCTTGTATACGCGAACTGGACAACAAAGAAGATGACGAGGCCTTGACACGTAATCATATAGATGCTCAACTGGGAGGTTATAGCAACGGAACTCACGGCAGGAAGATCGCAACTAGTTGCTCAACATAGTTCCATGGATCAATTTAAGCATAGAGGGGGGAAAAGGAAATATGATTCCCTTGTGATCATACCTGGTTGGAGACAATCGTATCTGAGCAAAGTTTGGAACTGTAACATTACTAAGACGAAATACCTGGCATCAAGACCTAGAAAGGAACTATAAATCAAACATCAGTTATCTAGGTATACTTGGGCGTCATCTGAAAGTTGCATAAAAAGCTAAACACGTTCTAGTCAGGAACCAAGTTCCCAATTCGTCATGCCATGTCCTAATAAGGACGGGAGTATATTACTTGTCGTAATTTGGTACGTAATTATGCCTTTATAAGTCCATGTAATGAGGTTGATATTCTCCTCTATTGGGCCGACGTGGGTGACATAGTACATGGGTGTTTCCGAATCCGTTATTCTATAGGGCAGGATCTTGTTTAGGCTAAAAGGTAAGAAACAGCAAGGAATCTAGTAGGCGTTCGAGGCCTCCATTCGAAGCAACGTCAGTGATGCGACGATCCGAATAGGGGCGACGTCATTGGACGAGGCCGCGCAGCCGGGTCTAATAAGAATGGTTCATCGGATCTTCATAAGAGTCTGAGAACCGTGGGTCGGATATGAAAGCGGGCGGAGATCGCGGGACAAGGAACCGAGTCGGCTGAGGTTGATCGTTCAGGGGGGGACTGACCAAACGGCCCGGAGAAAGGAATCCCAAAAACCTGGAATAGAAGGTGCCTCTTTTACATAATGAAACTCGAAAATCACCCCATCTTTAGCAAGTGATGGGCGATGAGTGATGACAGGAGCTTACGCTTAGACGTGGAGTGCTGACGGGAGACGTGCATAGACGAATGCATCGAGCCGCAGTGCAATTTAGACTCGTGGTATACGGACGTAAAGTCAGATGTCATCGGATTCCCTCTGCGCCTAGCCGGGGACGAACGAGAGGTCATACGGAGCGGAACGGCTCGCGATGCAAGTCAGTCTTGTACTACGTAAGCATTCAATAGGAACCCGGCGGGAGTACACAGTGGAAAATAAGCAATCCTCAAATGAGAAACAAGCATATGCTTCTCTGAAACCCTACCTTCCGGACGTGATGGTTACATTCTGTCCCGTCTTCGCACGTGTGCGCCGCTTGACGTACCCCGGACCACACAACGGCGGGACGACTGGGTCGTGATCAGACGAATTTGAGGCAAATGTGATTAACCGAGTCGAAGACATTGCAAACCTAATCTCAAGTATGAGGTTGTATTACTGTCTAACGACCCTTAGAGTTGTAGTGAAGAGCCGGCTATTTTGTATTAGATGCAATGCGCCTAGTAGCAACCCAAAGTTAAGGATCTCTGGGTTTAGCGGTTCGGTCAGGGCTGTATGCAAGAAAGACGGCCAGCGTTACGAGATTGGTAACCCCGGATCCTTGAAGGGGCCATACGCCGATCTGGGAACGCACGGTCACGCCTACCCGGTGAAGAAACATTGATAATCAAAGAGTAGCGTCGGACTTCTTATCACTAACGCCATCGAGACCGGTGAACGGGGCGTTGTGGAGATGCGGAAAACGGAAAACGGAAAACGCCTCAAGCACTATACACTAACCTAACTTGCTGGCTGAATCCTATAATACTGAAAGGAGCGGTGGGAACACCAAACCAATAGAAAGAAGTTAATTAATAAGTTATTAGGATGGTTTGTTCGTTTGCTTGATAGGTAACAGTATTATAAGCGGAGCAGAAACACTCCCTCGGACCTAGGACCTTGTTTAGCGTTATTATGTTCTTTTTTAGGTGGAGAGTATGAAATCACACGGATGTGGCAGGGAGACGAGAGCAACAAAAAGGAAAAGAGAACGAAAAACCGGGGGGGTTGATTGATTATGAGTAGGCTGCGTGGCATTCCCGAACGTTCCGAGAGCTAGAACCAGCCGAGCTATTGGTCGCGATGGAATATATAGCTAAAGATGGAAATGGAAAGGAGGATTTCTAGGTGTGGTGTACCTGTTCACGTATGTCAGAGTGTCGGGCGTGCTGCCACTTCAAAATGGTTGCTGGGTCATTATGGGATGCTGTATGGTAGCAGTGGTAATAACGGTAGTTGAGATCTCTCTAAGCTACATGGATAATTAATTGGCCATATGCTGCCGAATATAGAAAGCTGGAAGCATGTGAAGAGATTGACATGCATGAACCTATGTATATGTAGGTGTATGTAGGTGCCCATCTGGGCTGCTATGTAGGTAGGAGACTCGCTTATTAAATTAGCTGGAGTCTAGACGGAAGTGATGTAATGATAGTGGAAGCTAAGGAGCATGATGACAGCTCGTTTCTGTAATGTCCCGCTGTAATATAATATATCTAAACTCGTACGCGTGCTTACATAGCACGAGTTGCGCGTGTAATCGTAGGACGACAGCTGAGCCGTCAGTCTGTAAAGTAGTTCGGAAACTCTTACCAAGCTTGCCCATGCCTTACTTGGAGTGCTGACACCTATGGGTGTCTCACCTTGAGATAGAGGATCTTTTCCGATTCGCCAAACATATTTGATGGTTTTCCCGAGATGAGAACATGTGTCTAACTTAGGTACGATCCCTATATTATGGCGTTCTTGGGATAAACTCCGACGAGTAGTAGTAGGGAAATATCTGTAAAATTCTCCAACCGTGATCCGGAGTTGTTTGTTTAGTTTTCCTCTTTAAGGGGTTTAACAGTCAACCTTGACTCCGAATTCCCTGTCGTGGACAGGGCGTTGCTCCGACACAACGCTCCCCGGATTCTACCATAATTAGGAGTTGGGTTATGTATAATTTTGGTATAGTTTGTATAGTATTCGTCATGTTGGTGGTGCTCTTCCTGGATTTTAGATGTACTATGTAGGAGATGATATCCGACTACTGGGATGAATTAGCCAATTATATCTAATGGTTATAATGTTAGTGGATACTAGTGATGCGACACCCGATGATATTCCCTGTGTCTGTAATTTTGTCTAGTGTAGTGTAGAATATCAGGTACACATATGAGCTTTTTTTCGTCAAGGCCTCGTCTTGGAAATACCCGGCTCTTGCTAGCATATGAATCATACTGACAGGTAAGTATGTTATATAACAATTCTCTTCCGTCTGATCGTTCTGCATAGTAGGTGTTAGAACTGATCATTCAACTCGAGTTTACCTTTTTCACATGCCCTTTACATATGGACATTTCGAGTCAGGCTTTCAAGTTTCAACTTGTCGGTAAAATCCTTTGCCCACCCCATTTTATTGAAGTATCTTTGTCGTGCCAAGAGCTCAGAGTTCGACCAAGATCTATCCCGGCTCATCCAAACGCGATCAGCAAATTTGGACCGCATACGTAATACCTGAGTGGCCCTAAATACGATCCGGACAGCAAGCTAGCTCTTCAACAAATAGCTATTTCGACGGCTAGGTTGAATCGCATCGCTGAGAGTCCGTCGGGGGAGAATAATAACCCCATCCGTGGTACGATAAAAAAAAAAAAAGCGCGAAGGAATTGTCCCCTTCTAAAATTTAATTGTCGCACCCCCGGCCTAGGCCGACACGCGACAAGTGGGTCGAAGAACTGGTTAATACAGTTGTGGTTAATAATAGGTGAGCACCGTCTCGTCGGTGGGTGTATGTAGTGTACATAGCAGTCCCGCATATGCATACTATGACTAGGAGTTCCTAGCTGGGCTAGTACACTGCATGCTATTCTAGTGGTTCTTCTAGAAGACCACCCCTACCGGCTAGACCATCCCGTTTAACGTGAACTAGGGCACAGAACGAATCTTCCCTCCGCAACCAAAGGACCCAAGACCCGGCAGTACCACGTCGTAGTGGACATCCTAGCTGGCTAGCTTGGCTTAGGGTCGGTTTCTGGAGCGGCGGTAACGGTAGTAGTACATGATTAAAAAGGTAGACGACCCCATTGGCGACACATCCGAACGAGGACTGACCTCACGAACTGCTGTTGTTACTATTATTGCAGTTTGTAGTTGTTTGTTTGGTTGTTTGTTTGTCGTTGCCAGGTTTATAAGAACCTATATCAAAATACCCAAGTATCTCACCTTTTTTGTGTACTTTCGACCTTCTAACTGGACCTACCTCTCAATCTTATAGAGAGAGACAGAGACAGAAAAAAAAAAAAGAAGGAAAAAAAAGGGACAAAAGGGAAAGTGAGGGGCAGTAGGAACCTTCTAAGTTAAGGCTTAACTAGCACCTTATTCTTGTTGTCTTACCTCACCCAGGAAACTACATACCAACAAGCGGTTTCCTCAAATTTACAAGCAAAGAAAGGAAAAATACGTCTTCAATTTGCCCTATAACATCAAAGTACGTACCACGTTCCTACCTTTCCTACATCTCCTACCTTCACTTACTTGACTCGATTTTCTTTAATGTTAGAATAATCCAAATTCCTCCCCCCCCCCCCCCTTCCCACTCTAGGAATTTTCTTTACTGACAACAACCTTTTTTTGTGCGCCTCCAGTTCAGCTCGTCACAATCCGCTACCTACTATTGGAGCTTTTATCGAATATCGTTTCCGCACATGACCTCCTCCCCAACGTACTTCTTCATCTGGATCGCACAAGTTGGAGGTCAGCTTCGCAGCTGTTAGCGCTATTTCTTTTCCCGCCAATCCGTGCAAGGCTTCCTTTGCAACGGCCCTGTCTAATTAACCAACCAGAACGAAACACAAGGATCGATATTGCAGGACTAAGAGCAGGACTAAAAGCCGATTGGTGATATTTCTGCTGTGTTCTGTAATCCTGTGCCGCATTTACTCGGATTGTCGCTTGTGATTGACTGTACATACACGCATACACGATAGCGAGCACAAGGGCTCATTTCGCAGTTCGGACTTCGCATCGATTTTCAGCAACTGGATAAACGCCGACGCAGCCGCGGATGCAGACGCGGGCAAAGGACATCCGGACCCAGTGTTGATCAGAGCAACTTGTCAACGACTTGTCAAGCTGTCCTGTGTCCACTTCCTATCGGTTCATCCATGAGATAATACTTTTGACTATTGTACCAAAAGTCACCTGCTTGGCTGGCTTGGATAGGCGAGAAGTGCCAGGGCAGGACGCAGGACGCGGGACGCGCGTGGGAGGGAGATTGGGATATTTGGGGGTCACTTTTGTCGGTACAGGTTGGCTGTCACTGGCTGTCACTGGCCGCTTGGTCGCTTGGTCGCTTTCACTGGCCGCTGTTGGAAATCGAATCGAACAACCCCGCTGTGTGACGCTCCACAGACCTCTGCGACCTCTTGTTGTGTTGGAGAAACGTCATGACGTCTATAGTAAGTACATCTGTCATTCTCTCTACATTATCTACAATCTCTATACCCTGTACGTTTTTTATGTGTGGCTTTTATTTTTATTTTTATTTTTATTTTTTCTGTTCCCAACTCTGCATTATACCTTATACCTTATGTCTCATCAGCCCAACTGCGCAACTCTGAGCTTTCATAGTCGCGTCACGCGTCTTATCTTATTTTTCACTCTTTCATATTTCCTGTCTACCAATTTCAACTTTTGTGCACCCAGAGGGCTAGATATAGCTCATCCACACTGGCCTGACCTGCATACCTTGGCTTCTCGGGACCGCTCTGATTTATTTCTTTGGATATTTGTGTTCCACACCTTCTGCTTCTACCACACATCTTCCTGTCTTTTAATGTCCTGATCGAATTTCTTCACCGCCTCCTTGCCTGTCCAGACCACCCCGGAAGCCTCGTGTCCCCCCACACTGTCGTCTTGTCAGCCCCCTTAGCCCCGGGCCTTACTTGCTTTGAATGCTTATGTTAGACGGCCCCCCTATTCCCATCACGACGGCACGGAGCGAAGCGATGTTGCGCTACGCCCCAGGTCAGCCAAGTGTCGAGCTTGACTGGTACCGGTGCCATTATTGTCGCAGATGCCCAAGTTGCCAGCTTGGAATTTGGACTGAGCATATTTACCCCCTTGCACGACAGTGACGTTTTGACTCTCCAAGTGTAGTCCCTCAAAACTCCTAACTCCTTCCTATTTATCTCCTAATACTTACTCATCTCCTACCCTCCCTTGACCCCAGACCGACTCCTGTCAAATTTGACCCCCACTTCCTGTTCAGCTTTATTACTGTTCGCTTGAACTCTGTGACTACCCTACTTGAATATCTTTGTGATCTTTTTTCGAGATGCTGTTTTAGCACGTGCATTTCACCAAGTCTACCCTTTGCGATATCGTGCCCGACCATGACTGTTTCTCCGAAGCCAGCAATATTGCCTCTGCTAACTCACATCCAGCTATGTCTGGCGCATTACTGCGACCTACACGGACCGACACCTCTTATGGTCACTGAAGGCCTACCTGTACCATGCAGACAATGTTGTGATGATACTACTGAACCAACGCGACCGCAAACCAGTGCTGCAGGTCATGGCCAACAGACAACCGTTACTGATACTTTGCGAAAGATGACGCTTGGATCCCCACGTAGCTCATCCACCTCTGTGACTGATCAAGAAGCCCAGGCGCATCGCGCATCGATACTTCGAATGTCAAAGCTAGGTCCTGGTAGTACGGTTCAGGCCGTTACGCCAGCACCTCTCACCACAGCCTCGACCGTCCAGACACCACCGCAAAGTCCCCGACATGCGCCAGAAAACTTCCCTGAGACGAATGGTAAAGGGGGTTCACGACGCGACTCGAGTTTTCATCGAACCTATGATGATTACGTTACGAAACGAGCGAACCCATGTGACAACTGCGCCTTGACTCTTCCTAAGCGGCAAAACTCAAAACCCGGAAAGGGGGAGAAAGCAAGTACTGCAACAGATTCTAAAACGGATCAACGTGGCCCTGTATTGCGCACGCGCGCTCCATACGCACGTGTCTATGGAGGCAGCAGCGAGTTTAGCCCGCCAAACTCGAATCCGCACTCCTCGTACACTTCTGATGCAGAGGAGGATGTTTTACCCAAAGACAATGGCAAGCATTCAAACTTGCAGCGCCGGCCTACTACCTCAACTTCGCATTCAAGCGTATCGTCCAAATCTAGTCTGACACAGCACACACACTACCTAGATTACACATCGACTCATGAGCCGGTAGTCCCTACCACGTACTCTATAGTTCGTGCCTCTTGTCTACGAACGCTCTCCTTTGAAACCCTCCCTCGACGACCTGAGACTACACAGCAAGTTCCATCACTCTCGTCGCCATTGCCTCCCCAATTTACATCGCCGACAATCAATCATGGACTAGGTTACATCACTACGGCACCGAATCCCCAATCTGCTGCTAATGGCGGCCCGATCTTTTTTGGTGATCCTTTAGCGGGCTATACGACCGCATACATATTTCGCATTCCCGATATGCATGCTCGCGGCCGCAAGAGAGTCTATGCGTTTCTGGCGCTTAGTACGCACCGTGAACGTCTCGCCATGAAGACCTTTAGCTTTATATCAGCCGCATTCCGAGATTTAGCAAACTGGATTCAAGAACTGGCCGAAGCCGAAGCCGAGAGAGAGCGCGATCGAGAGGAAGCCAGCAGTCCAATTGCAGCAATCAATGCAGCGTATAGCCGAGGTGGATTTGGTGGTGATGGCCCGCGTGATAGTGGCATAGGGCTAAACCTTGGAGGCGGGTTCAGCGTAGCGAACCTGGACCGCGATCGCGAAAGAGACAGGATCAACGACTCGAGCAGCTTCCTGACTGGTGGTGGCCGCAGCGGTTTAATGCAACGCATGGGCGGATCTATGGGGCCCGGTGGATTTGCACCCAAAGCCCGCGGACTCGCAGAGCTCGTGGGCCTCCCTGACTTCTTCATTGAGCTGCATTCACGTTTCGTGCAGCTCTTGCTGGAGCTGGGCGTTGTGCTTTCCTCTTGAACTTTGCCGACCTCCAACGACATGACATGAGCAACTGATTCATAGCGATATTCGATTTGCTATTCTGCGACCGGCTGAAGCAACTAATACAGTTTAATGTGTCCGAGTGCGGAGGTGAAGACGTAATGACGGAGGATATACCCGAATTGTTGAGTTGACAGTGAATACCCCAGCAAGCTTCCTTTGGTTGCAAACCACTCCCTCCGAGATATTGGTTACGGTGACTCTCAACAAACTCCTTGACTTCTATGATACCCACGCTTCAAGTTGAAGTAATTGATATTGCGCTAGTTAGCGCTTATCCTCTTTTTTTTGCCTTTCTTAAGGATGATACCCTTTCTGTATTACTACTTGTCGACTTTATTGTTGTTTTGCGTTTCCGATATGGTTCTACGCTTGAGGGTATACCGTTCTTGTTGTGTGGTATGGCATGGCGTGGCATGTAAAACGGCGTACAAAAGAAAAGGTTGGTTAATGCATGCGGGGGGAAGCCCAAATCCCCTAGAGAACAGGTAGACGGATGAGCTCAGGCGGCTCGGACGAATGATTGGACGATGTTGAGGATGTAGGGGAGAACGAAGATGTAATGGGCATCAATTGTAATACCATGGTACGAGAAGATGATTTTTGAGCGTTACGGGCACTTCTGTGCGTTTTATCGAGCAGGTTAGGGGAGCATTATAGATAAAGACGGACTACGGTTAGACAAACAAGAGTTACTATTGCAAGTTTATGAGCACGTTTTCGAGCTTCGTGAAACTCCCTTCCAAATCTGGTACTGCAAAGGGAAGCACGTAATTAGTTTGTTTAGTCGCATTGCTATGATAGTGTTACATTTAGCCAACCCCATCACGTCACGGCTTCTAGGGGCACCCTCTATTTGCACGGAATTCCTATCGCAAGACCAAAGCGTATCCGCCGCAGATGAAGGTGCGGATTCCCTTATTCCTTACTCGGCTTCCACTCTCCCAAGAACTCGGGGCAAACCACGTCAAGCTACCAGGCCTTTCCCGTCTATTTGTAGAAGTCGAACTTGTTCTCATCACTTGTTCCTTTGACTTGACTGGAGTAGGCGTCTTCAAGGTCGGACTGGATGATATTGTAGCGGTTCTTGCGGACGGCACGGAGACCGGCCTCTTGCATGATAGCAGCAATGACGGCGCCGCTAAGGGGATCGTTGCGGACGATAAGACTGTCTAGATCGACCTCGGGGGCGAGGCTCATTTTGCTGGCGATGGTACCGAAGATAAGACGACGCTCGCGGCGATCACGCAAGCTAGGGAATTCGATCTTTCGATCGAGACGACCGGGTCGCAGGAGCGCAGGATCTAGGGTATCGGCGCGGTTCGTGGCCATAATGACCTTGACGTTGGAAGTTTGATCAAAACCGTCCATTTGGTTGAGCAGCTCTAGTAGGATACGTTGGACCTCACGGTCGGCACCGGTCTGGGCGTCGAAACGTTTGGTGGCGATGGCGTCGATCTCGTCGATGAAGATGATGGCGGGTGAGTTCTCGCGGGCCATGCGGAAGACGTCACGGACCATACGAGGACCCTCACCTAGGTACTTCTGGACGAACTCGGAGCCAACGACTCGGATAAAGTTGGCGGTTGTGGAGTTCGCGACGGCCTTGACAAGCATAGTCTTTCCCGTACCGGGGGGGCCGTAAAGCAGGACACCGCGCGGAGGGTCGATACCGATCTGCTTGTAGAGGTCGAAGTGGGTTAAGGGTAACTCGACGGCTTCGCGGATCTCTTGCTTCTGCATGTCGAGGCCACCGACATCAGCGTACGTCACGTCCGGCTTCTCATCGGCACCGAGCATGGCGATAGAGGAGTCGGCCTCGGGGGGTAGGATATCGACGAGGGCATTGGAGTGCCGGTGAAGGGCGACGGAGGACGAGGGCTTGAGCTTCTCACGGTCGAGAGTGGATAGGATACGGACGACATAGTTGGATCCTGTGCTAGACTGGACTATTCCGGTACTGGTGGTAATGTTAGACTTTTCTGCCGTACTTTACGTTTGATGATCGAGTCAAGCTATTGGACTTACTTCTGGTCAATAGCCTCCATAAATTGGCCAATAACTAGCGGCACACTCTGAATTCTCTTGATTTCCTCCTGTGCCCGGACAAGTTCGCGTTTTAAGCTCCTGCGTAGGTTTCCCATTAGAACCGGTGTCCTATTACAATAATATATGGTTGGCATCTCCCGCTCTTGTCTTACCTTTGCTCATCCTTGATGTATTCCTCCTGTAACTGGATATATTCCAGGTGCCCTTGTAGCTTTTTTAACACTGCATATTCATCTCCGCCCTGCGCAGGTATGCCCTCAATACTCTCGACGTTCGGGATGGTTGACGGGATGGGCTTGTTAAATGGTGCCACGCTATTAGCTGGGTTTTCTACTAAAATGTCACCCATGATCGCGACGCCGACGATGGGATTAGCGGATTGTAAAATAGAGAGTGAGTCGTAGATTCTGGCCGATCCGAAGATTTGTCGTCGGGATGTGTCTGTTGTTGATGTGGAGAATTGATGGATGATGATGATGGAAAGTTGAGGTTACGTTGGTGAGTACAAGCTACAGCTTCTAAGATCCAGGTGCCGACGCCAGCCTTGCAGCCTTGAGAGAGGTGGTTACTAAGTATATGCGGGCCATTGCCAAGGATATAAATGCAGCTAATCCATCCTAGGAAAGTATAGGATTAATAGCTTTTCCGCCTTCCCTTGGCCCCACTGTCCGGCACCCGCATTGCCTTAAATACATGGATTGGCTTTTCACTTCCTAACACCTGCAAATCCAAGGCGAACATTCAATGTTCCCCATATTAGAGGTCAGTTTTTGACCACTTATCTTGCAGCACAGCCTGCAAAGCCTACTGAAGATCAGCTTCCGGCATCGCCCGACCAAAACTAGCGCTTAACCTAGATCTAATCCATCGACGCTGATATGTAGGTATTCGTATATAGCTTACATCGTAACGAAAACAAAAGAGCACTGTAAGAAACAAGTTCTTATTTTGTGATAGTGTGATATATTTCAACGAAAGGGTTTTACTCATTGTGATTTTATCTCAAAAATACCTAATGCGCTAGGACAGCCTGAAAGGTTTAATATTCTTAGATGTTGGGTCTAAGGAGCTACCTTGAAGGAACCAGTTGAGCTGATCCCTCATCCCTCTTGCATCTTGCATATATCTTAGCCTCCATGTAGTGTATGTAGGTACGTACATGTACGTAGTTGTGGGTAGAGGCAAGTCACTTTACAGCACAGTGTGAACTTTCTTACTACCCGCCCCTCTGTTGGACCAATCAAGTCCGATCACAAACCTAGAGGACCCGCAAGGGTCCCTCGTTCCCGATGTGTCATCATACCTAACCGGCGGTTTCGCACTGGGCTATCGTTGTCTCTTCCTTCCAACAATCCATCACTTTACAGTGAGGTACGTTATCATCATAGCCCTTCTAGCCTGCTTGCCCGCTTGCCCACTTGTCTGCGTTTAGATTACATACATCTGCAATTACAGTGCAGTAGGTACATAGGCACAGCACATACCACATACATACATGCCATAGCACTAAGCAGCAGCACATTGTACATACCAAATGACCGTTCCCGCATCAAATGCAGGCGCTGTCCGACTTATACTGTACATACGGAGTAGGCTCCCTCTAGCCTCTCACCTTCTCTAAACCACCTGACTTAGATCTTCTTTTCGTCCCTTTTTCCACCTCGTCAATATTACCAAGGATCTCTCAACATTACTTCTTTTTACCTCGTCGTTGCTTGCTTTACGAAGTGAACGTGCACGCTAATTTCCTTCCCTTTCTCTCTTAACTCTCTGACATAGTCACTTGTTATTCTCCGTTGGCGTTTCGACTTGCCTTGCTATTTATTATCATTTCGGCTACACAGCCCTCCCTCCGTGTTAAGATACACTACTGCTAATCGGATCTCCCGAGAGTCTTCGATAGAGAAGGGAGAAGTCTTGTCTTGTGATCCTACGATGATGGCGTCTAATACAATTGCTATCCCGGCTGTCCGGTCCTCGGCTGCAGCCTACGACCAATCTCCCAAGGCTACAACTAGCTCATCTTCATCATATTCAAGTTCTCCGCAAACCCCTAGTCCTAGTCCTAGTGAAGCGTCGTCAGTGCAGTCGGCACGCAAATTGAAATCAATCCACCACCATCGCCGACCTAGTTTATTGAGTACGTTTGCCTCCCTGTGTATTGACCATAGATCGGAGCACCTTGATGGTGTTCTCCCTCCGAGATCCGCATTGCTTACGCCATACAGGCTCCGCCTTCTGCAAGGACGAGTGCACCGTTATCAACATCGGAGATCCTGATGGGGCACCTCGATTGGTAAGAAAATGCTATCGCTGCTGAAAGTGCCGCTGAGGGGCCGTCTTACTAATACCCCCTCGCTATAGATCTCATACCTCGCCTCAAGTCAAGGGTTCGCATGGAACCCCGAACTATTCGTTCCGTCGTACGTCGAATGCAATTACATACCCCTAGAAAATCGCAGGGAGCCGGTACACGAGATTCGACTCAGTGATGAAGAGATCAAGGGGATGCTACCGTAACCGGTAAACCCCATCCAGAGGCCCCCCCTTTGGGACTTGTCTTTAGCGTCACTGCAATCGATCTCACAGAGCGTCGTTTCTTCCTAGATACACATAACCCTCGCGAGGATACCTTTGCCATTTTCACGAATACTTCGGCGTCTGGATTCGGGCTATATCATTGCCTGGATGGATTGTGGATATCGGTCTCGGCATTTCCTATTGCGCGGCGCGGCTTGGAAGGACCAACTTCACATACATTACAACAACTTGGACGGATGGGAATATTGTTACATGGGATATCCACGTCCAGAGGGCTTAGGAGTTCCCGTGGGTACTGTATGATTACATGAAGATTACATGAATGCCCTCAACATGGGGCCGGCGTTGGTATTCCCTGGTTGCTCTTGATTTAACTCGGCCGACTCTTTTCTCTACCTTCTTCTACGTCTCCAACCAAGCAATGAGTTATTGTTTGTAGATAAGGGCGTTGCTTTCTCGACTTCATAGGTAATAGAAAGACTGCATACATTACTTATGGTTGTCACACTGAGCAAGTGACTACGTAAATTACAGTGTTCTATCCGATTTAGTTATCTAACTCTCCCCTAGTCTATTTCGTATTTGGGGCGGAATATCTGAAAATCAATACTCGAATTGAAAGGTTTAGTTGCATGTACCTAAATAGCACACGGGTGCCCGGATAAGAAAGAGATGCAGGTGCCGAAGTGTAAAACAATGATGGGTCCTCCTTAGTGAAACGTTTCTCAAGAAACACCACGTGGATTACCGAGGTAGGAATTCTATTGCGAGTATCAATTATGAAATAGAACACCTGAAAGGGCCATTGTGCCTACGTATTTGATTGCTACGATATTTGGACATAGTCTTGATTTAAGTCAGATCCGCGTCTAGATAGGTATATTTTTATATAGCACTAGCTAGAATAACCATGCTTATAACCTTGAAGCAACCCAAATAACTGGAGATCCATTTAAATCTATAGCCTCATTTATGTACGGAATACGTAGGGGTGTACCTACATTTATCTCATGTAAAGACATGTAATAACTTCCTTCATCCCGCTCCCAATACTGCCTCCTTAACAAGCCGTTATACTCGCACGGTGTAGACATCCCACTTGTCGTCAATTAACCCACTCTTTTACCCCACGAATTGCGTTATCGGACCAACCCTCTTACCCTGATGGGAAAGTTGAAATAGATTAGCGCGACTGATACGGCTAGGCGTTTAAAGCGCTTCCAGTCCTTACCTCATAAAAGACGTCTTTTAAGTTCTTAAGGGATTATATATCACTGTGCAAGCTAAAATCTTTACAACATATAACATCATCTTTTTAATTATTTTAACTATTATAACCATACCTACCTACCTATTGACTTGTGTAATTTCCTTTGAGTACCTAACTTTTTATACCACGTGCGGTTATAAATTTGCTATAATATGCTGCAGTTTGTTTCATAAAAAATGCGAACTTTCAAGCCAGTGAACCAATATACCAAATACTACTCGAAATAGTCACGTTTAACGTTGAACTCTTTGATCGCCTCCAGGGAATATTTGTGATTGACCAGGTAGTATGTAAATGCGGGCGGAGATATTCACATGCATTCGTGGCGATCTCGAAGTAGGGTACCCAATAACTAACCCAATATCAAGATGTTTGTTTCATAGCCACGTGTACAGGTAGATGAGGGTATATGGGTAGGTGTATATTTTCAGTATGTCGCATCGGGTAATGAACCTTTGAGAGATTGTTCCACTATTCATCAGCCTTTCTCATCTCGACAGATCATCATCCTGAGAGTATTAATGAATCCCTAAATCAGCATATGCCATTGTAATGTTAATGTAGTATCAAACTAAGTCAGCACGAAATAATGTGTTAGGCACTAACCGGAGCTAAGGGCGGGTTCCCATTTGCGAATATGGGGTAGACTCAGCTTTGCGATCAATGGTGTGAAGTCTATTTGAAGATAAGAGCCCAATCTATTGAACAGTTTTAGCTACATGCAAGTACTTGTATACCTGGACCTTACTAGCCCCTCCAATTCAGCTACCACATGCATGCACATATGCTGAACATCAGGCGGTACTTTAAACCTTATATAGAATTATTACGTGAGATTAGGTAGGTACCTACTCGCATTGGGCAATGCTAACCTCCGATAAACTGATACTTATACCCTCGACCCACATTTCGACCTGTAAAAGACAATTCCAATATAACGGGACGCACAATCGTGTTCTGCGTTCCCAATCATTCAACAAACTACAAACTATTGTAATATTCGTCTAGCAACAATGGTTGAAGTGGATCACGATCGATAAAAATTCCATGCCAATGCACGCCAAATGCTAGGCTCAACTAGCTAGCGGTGAACATTTTGACGGGCACATTACAATGTTGGGCACGGAAAAAGATGCACGTCGCCAAGGCGAAAATACCCAAATACCACCGAATAAACAAATCATTGGACTGAACTTACCGTACCCAAGGCTCGATATCGCAACAAGATGCATTACATACGCTTGTTGCGTGGCCCAAAATTAGACGCATCAAACCTCAAGAGACCACTTATCTCAATCCTTCTTACCATCACCACGGATCTGGGTGACTCATTTCTCTACCCGGATGAGCCCGTCGGCTTGACTATTTCGGTGGAGAACCCGACAGGCCAGTCAATCATACTAGAGGCGGATCGCTCGCCTAGATGGACTGCTGGCATGCGATGTCTTGACGTCAAAGTCCCCATCAAGCCGCATCTTAAGAAGGACGATGTCACGTGTACGATTAGGATTCATCCAGCGACACAAACTCCACCGTTAGGGGTGTTGAAGGGTACCGACATGCTTCCGTGGAGCGTTGCTAGAGGCTCGCCTGCAAGCAACGGTCTCATCATGCCAGTTTCCGTAGAGATGGCGAAGGGCATCTGCGCGCCCGTTGCCGTGCGAACACTCCAGCTGGACTCCAGGTCTCAGCCCCAGGACCAAATGGATATTGACCTGGAAGAGGACATCGGTGAGAGCATTGCACGCCACATATGGGACGCAGGCGTTGTGACAGCCTCCTTTTTAGGAGACGCATGTAGCACCAAGGAAGGTATCTACGATACGCTGCCTATGCGAGAAGACAGATTTAATGTCTTAGAGCTTGGTAGTGGTGTTGGCATTCTCGGGATCACCCTGGCGCAAGTTATAGAAAGGGCCGTAGTCCGTGGCCACACGTCCAGTAAAGCTACTGTATTACTAACAGACCTCTCCGAGGCGGAAGAGCGCGCGAGGTCGAACATATCGAGAGCCAAAGCGGCGCTCTCTCACATAAATCCCAGCGGTTCTACAGTGGCTCTTCAGTACGAGGACCTAGACTGGGACGAGGGCAAGCACGGACAGTTCGGGACTCTTGCTTCTGCCCGCCCGTGGGATCTAGTTGTACTTAGCGATTGCACATACAATGTTGACTCGTTACCCGCGCTCGTCGGAACACTGAGCGCGCTACACACTGCAAATTTGAAATATCCCGGGGTAGAAGAAGATGCAAAGACTTTTGTTATCCTAGCAACAAAGCCTCGTCATTCTTCGGAGCAGGCTCTATTTGGCTTGCTGACTACCGATGGTTGGCAACATAACGTTCTTAAATCCATTCCACTGCCAAAGTTAGGCGAAGAGGGTGAGGCAGTTGATATATACTTACTAAAAAAGGGTAAAGGGATATCATAATTTTCTTACTAACTATACGAGTTTATAGATTATAAAAATTTTCATAATGCATTGTAACTTATTTGTTTATATGTAGGAAATAATATAAGTGAGAAAAAGCAAAGTCTTCTTAGTCATTTATTGTATTAAACCGATAGACACTCTAGCACAAAAGCTGAAAGCATCTTTATTTAAGTGCTTAAGTGGCTTGATATACGCGCCTTTAATCTGTCATAAATCATTTAATCACCCCATGTCTCTTCAGAACAGCCATTATTAGGAAATAAGCAAAACCTGTTTTTATTTTCGCTGTAGCCTAGTGGCCTCTTCTCCTCTTTACTATAGCAACCAAACCTCCGTTTTCCCAATACCCAAACAAACTATCGTCAATGTATAGTACTCTTTCGCAAAACAATATACACACCCGATTTAAAAAGCGATGTCGTAGTCGAACATCCGACAATATGGACCCATCGGTCAACAAAAGACGGCGTTCTTGTTCGGACATACCGGCAAAGCAAATTGCTTCACAGCTGCCCAAACCCGCTGCCTCCTTGTCTCCAGTATCTTCCAGCCAAGAATATTCACATCAACGGTCAATTTCGAGCTCTATATCCGACTGGCTTCGAAATGTCGAACTAAACCCGCAAGATCCGAGCCTATTACTCCCAAGTCCAGGACAATCACATGTATCCTTAAACCTAATTTCCGACCTAGATATTATGTCTTAAGGAACCCCAAGTTCGAGGCGTTCGATAGACGATGGCCTGGATGATCCATCTTCGTCTGGTCAATCTTCCCGCGGAGTCCTTGACACTATGTATGCAGAGTTGTATTTGAGGCCGAACTGTATATGGATGGAGCTAGAAGAAAATTCTCCAAAATGGGTTAAGGAGTTTCAACAGAAACTCTTACAGCCTACCACAAATATACTCTCGCCAGAAGAAAGAAAAAAGAGGAGTAAGTGGTATAGTGGAGCAAAGAGTAGACACTATATTTTGGCAGATTTACAAACAGCTACGATGTATCATTTGGGAATGGATTTGATGGATGTCCAACCTTTTGACCTGAATACTCCTACACCCGGTGAAGTTGGAATACCGGATGAACCTGCCGAATTTACCTCGTATAAGATGGTAGAATTCAAGAGTTTCTGGTTGAGTGACTCGGAACACTATAAGGCCTGTCTTATGTTGATCAGCAACATCCATAAATGGGGCCGGGGAGAGAGGTACGATGGGATTGTCGACAGCATTAATAAGAAATTGGATGGGCCGCGAAAGCTATGAGGGCTTTCCAAGGATGTACATATGTGGTCAATTAGGTAGCTGGGTTGAACGAGGCTATTTGATTGTATATGAGGCTGGCCAATGAGATCGCGCGTATCCTGGAATATCTTGGGGGACTGGAGGGGTCTTATCAAATTACATAGGCGGGGTTGTCATAGAAGGTACATGAATAGCCTAATAGAATTATATGAGAATTATATGAGAATACATGTAACTAATACTTATGCGATACACTACTTGCCAACCCCGCTATTGTCACGTTTTTTACCCGCGTACTACCCGTGTACATAGGTACCTAATGTAGAGGGCCCTTCCAAAGCGCCAAGCGCCAAAAGTAAACATCTGCAATACTATTTACATCACAAGTCTATCCTATCAAATTAGCCAATCACCATTTACCAAAAGGCAAAATTGGGAATCACTAGCATCTCATCGCTGCACTGCACTGCACTGCACTGCACGTACGGACATATCTGAATTGCGGCTGGCTATCTCTATCTTCTATCACTAGTTCCGCTCGCGTTTCCAGCAGAACACCAACGGAGAAAAGAAACACAAGACTGACTACATACTTATATCTTTCATCATCATCATCATCATCATCATCATCATCATCATCAATCTTCCACCCAGCTCGGTTTAAAGCCCTCCTGCTTTCTCCCGCTACAACTACAACACCCTCCCCTTTCCTTACCTAAATCACCATGGAGGGCTCGGCCTCGGCGGCGCACCGAAAGATCGAGCTCCAGGCCCCCGATGACCTGGCATATCTGTTGGCCAATGTACGGCGCGCAGCCGCGGCACGTTTAGATGAGGCGTTTCCGCCGGTGGATGGGGCAAGCGGCGCCGCTGCCGATGGTGACGAATTGCGGACGAGGATCGAGGAGCTTGTTAATGAGGTATGTTTCATTTTATTCTTTAGTTTCTATTTTTCTCCGTTGTGTTTTTCTTTTCAGCATGCAGTTATCAGTGTCTGTATTTCTTCTATCGAATCTCCATTTTACCACTGCCGTATTTCATTTCTCGCTTGCGTATGCAGGTAGGGTATACGGATTTAATTAAAGAGGCCTTGGTGAAATGTGAGAGATCAATGCAGGGTTCCTATATAAATGGAATTAATGCGTTAGACCTTCACATACGACCATAGGATCTGGAAAACTCGGGATCCCGTCCGCTCTCCCATAGATAAGCCAGATACCGCCAGATTAGTAGTTGGGTCGGTGACGACCAGCGAATCCCTGGTGTTGTATGTTTTTGTTTTTATTTATTTTTATTGATGTATTGCATTCTCTTGGTTTTGCCTCTTTAAAAGTTTTTTTTTCTATTTTGATCCTGTCTTTTTAATCTGGGATTATTTCGTACGAAACACTCTTATGGCCGGACGCTAAATACTAACCTACAAACAGTACATCACCAAAACATTCACCCTAGCAGGCCCCAACCTCTCCATCAATGGCATGCCCGTTGACGCAGCACACTACCTTTCCGGTAGTTCTTCCGACCCGCAGCAGCCGGAGGAAGTCTATGAGCCGTTTGACGCACGCAAGCGCGCCCGTCTCGAGGAGCTAACGCGCGAGGAAGAGGACCTTCTGCGGGACATTGCCGCCTTAAAGAAATCCGTCCCGCACGCCGCAGCCGCCTCCTGGGCCGAAGCAGCGCGCCGCTCCGTCGCTGACGACGAGCAGGCCCTTGCCGCGGCTAATGAGCGCGCCGTCGCTGATGGCGGTGAGCTGTTGCTGGGAGACCTGAGTAAGGGGCTTCCTCGACAGGATGATGCTGAGAGCGGCTACGAGGACGCGATTAAGGGGCTGGGTAGGTTGAAGCGCGAGATGCCGTCGGTGGTGGCGCGGATGGAGAGGGCGCGGGGAGCAGGAGAGTATGTTGTAACAGAGCGGTGAATGTGTCCCCCCTTTTTGTCCCTTTATATTGATTTATAGGGAAAGAGGCGGTGGAGTTCCGACTACGCTCTAGGAGGTGATAGTCGTCGTACCTGGTCTACGTGTATGAGAAGTATGCGAGGGGAGAATGGAAGACGGGAGGACTGTGCCGAGATATGCGGTAGCAAGTTCGGGTTGCCCCCCTTTAGGTACCTAGGGACCAATTGCGTCTTCACGTGGAATCCATCGGCCTCTAATATCATTAAAACCATGCTTGAGCAACCCTACCACGAACAAAACCACTTAATTCAACAAATCGAGATACTCCTAAAGGAGACCAATTCGAGTGCACGTAATTACAATTTATAATTCACGGGAATGGACAAAAGGCTAGAACTCTAGAGCAGCGCAAATGCAAATGTATCATATCAGTGTATGAAATGCCTCTAACGGTTCCGAAGAAAATAGCCACGTAGGCCCTATTAAGGCTCGTATGCCTGCAGGCTGAAATTTGCGATGAGATTTTGTCCGGAATAAAAAGTCGTCCGGATCGAGAAATTTCAGCGGCCACTTCCTCATGTGCCTTAATGATCCTATCTAACCACACCTACTGACTCCCCGCTTCATCTGAACTTATGCCCTTCCTTTTTGTATATAAATGCAACCTTATGTTTCCTTTAAGCGGCGGCCGGGGCAGGTGCTGTAGCTTCGGCTCCCTCCACGGCGGTAGCACCACCGGCAGCGACGGCACCCGCACCGCTGCCGATCTCTGTCGGCCTGTTCTCTATCGCTCCATCCTTGTTCTCCCACCAGGCAGGCTTCGCGAACTCAGGGTCATTCCAGGGGCCCGCGTTACTGAAATGGCAACCGCCCTCGCATTGACAGGTACCGCCGAATTCCTTAGGGAGGTTTTCGGCGGGGATCTGGCTCAGGAGTTCCTTCTGGTAGTTACCGCCGAGAACGTTGATCTTCTCAACAGTGACGGGGTCGAGCAGAGGGCGAATCATACGCCACACGCCAGTAAACAGCCAGTTGGTGTTGATGAGGTACATGCGGCCAAGACGTTCCGGGTAATAGTTTTGGCTCATACCGGACGCCTCCTGGATGTAGCCGAAAACCTGACGCGCATTGCCGAAGCCGACACCGTTGAAATCCATGATGGTGCAAGATGTCTCGAGTAGTTGACCAGCCTTGCGCGAACAAGCGGGTAGTCGCGGGTCCGCCATTTTCTCGTATTCAACAGCCAGGTTGACCAACATGTGCTCATACTCGATACCTTCATTCTTCATAGCAGTGAGATCAATCTTGCCAAGTTGTTCGATGTACACCGGTCGGCCGTCCTACCGAGCGTATATTAGTACGAAAGCTCAAGAAAGCCCATCTCTACGAGATAGCACAGAGGAGTGATTTCTCTTACCTTATCTGTCTTGTGGTAGTACTGAGGGTAATACTTTGACACCTTCTGCTTGAAGGACCCGTCTTTGTCCCACTCGCCTATCTCCTCGTCGAGACTGATAGTCCGACCGTCGATCTTAAGGGGCTGTCCGGTGTACAGAAGAGTCTTCCGCCAATTTTCGGTGTCGACGAACCTTGTTACCGGTGTCAGTCCATCATTCTCAACTATATTTCTTTACTCTGGGACATCTTTCGCAGCCTTGGCTCGGGGGGTCGCTCACATTTTCTTGGCCAAGTTGACGTCGAACTTTCGAGCTCGCAGGAAACGCAACTACATTCCGAACGGAGTGTTAGCTAATTCAACATGTGCATGCCCATCTGTTTGACATTGTAGCTCTTTTGCTACCTCCCAATATAGTACTTAGTAGGACACGTACCAACGTCAGGGTATCCAGCCGCTTGGTATAACCTTCGGCCTCGAGCAGCATGCGTAGCTGGTGAACCTGAGCTTGCTGGGCCTCGGTCAAGTGGCCTGGATGACCTGGTTTCGCTACGGGAGCGGTTGTAGGGAAGTCATAGTGGTCGTACTTAGGATTCAACTCCATGATGAATATGGCGAATGCGTCGATTTCCTAAGAAATCGAGCTATTTAAAGTGAGAAGTTCCTGATTGGGTAATACAGCAGACTGTTTATCCAGATAATACGAGTTAAAAAAGGGCTAGAAGTTTGAAGTTTGAAGTTTGGAGGAGGAAGGAAAGTGTGTTGACAGAATGAGACCGACAAGTGTCGTTAAGAATGTTTTAGGGGACCGAGGGTTGTCGATAGGGGAGTTTATGTAAGTGGATAAGCTGGCTTGTTGGCTTATCCGTAAGTAGTAATAATAATAAAAAGTCGGGGGGTCGCTTCGCTGTTAGACCGTAACTCGATAGTACATAGGTTACCTGTATGGATATGGTAAACTGGTATGTAGGTAATTTTCTAGGTCAGGTATGGATTACCATACAAAATTATAATCATTGGGAAAAAAAAGAGTGGCGGCGCTAGATTGCGGGCATGCCCAAGTGGGACATGGTCATTGGTGCGCAGCGGTGAGATCTGGGGACCCAAGCTTGACCAAACTTACCCAAACTTTAATCACGCTTCCTAGTGGCCTACCGCCTGCCGACTTTAGATAGGTAGGTATGTACATAACATTTAGGGGATTTAGGGGTGAGGTACCTATTCTTCCCCCTTTTATATCTTATATCTCTTCTACATAACCCACTACCTAACCCATTATCCACTACATAGGTACCTAATGGAGTGTATAACTACGAGTACCTTAGTAGGTACTTTCAATAGCCTTTTCCATAGGTATAGGTACTTTCAATTATATGTATGCTTCGCACGACAAACCAATAGAGCTGCCAAAGACTATAACTATGTAACTAACCTAAAGTCGGATAAGATTAGGGAAAATAAGGTAAGTTTATAGATTTAGTGGGAAATACTACAAATAGTGAATTGTCCTCATTTCCAGGTCAGAATTGTTATATTGCGTCATCAACACGCGGACACGGGTAGACAATAAGATTAAATTTACATACATTCCCATCAATCTTTTGCTTGAAATGTAGTAAACAGGCAGGAGGTCTCATCAGTAAAGATGGTGCCTAGTATGTCCCGTCGGCCGAGCTAACAGCTAACAGCTAACAATTGACCCTGTAGCCCTTCATCCGTTTGGCTGCTCGTCACCATCCCCAGTCCCTTTCCCTTTGCGTTCCTCGTCTGCCTTTTCTTTTCGCTTCTGAACAACCTCCCAGTTGTACACTCGCGCTACTGCAACCTCCATAGTCTAGTCCAAAGTTAGCTGTCTGTCCATCAGAGGTTTCCGAGACGGTGAACAAGACCAGGCAGGTCACGTACTGTAATCTGTTCCCTTAAGAAATCTAGGTCTTCCTCGCAATTAGCGTAGCTCTGCTTTGCAGCCGCCAATTTTGACGTTAAAAGGGTCTCGGCCTCGTCGATAGGATACGCCAGCATTACATTTGCCTATACAACGATCCCGTTAGCGAACTGGACACTCAAACGCTTGTTCGATATAATAGGCATTACGTCTTAACGCCTCAACGTACACCAAGCCATAAGTACACCTCTTCTGTAGGGGGTATGGACGCTTTCGCGTATAAAGTGTCGTTAAGCTCAAACGTTGTCTCGATCGGATCCGATTCCTCCTACAACGACAGCATCATATCAGTCGAAAGTTTCTAGCCGAGTTGACATTAAGGCTAGCCTACCGTCCTTGTCTTCAGGAACTTGACTGTTTCCAGAGTCTTTTGTATATCGGGCATCTTGTCTTTTAGTCCAGCTACTCTCCTTTGCAAATTCAGTTCCATAAATTGATATTTACTATATCCAAGCGTTTGTGTCAGCAGATGTCCTGCGTAGAAAGCGAAATGGCCTCGAGAGATCAATACGACGAATAGCCGTGGTGTGAGGGTTGTGCCTCGTCTAGGTAGACAATGTGTAGACATACGAGATCATCTCCTGGAAGCTGCGTAGCGTAGACTGGACATCGTCTCTTGAGGTGACATAGTCTTCGACTTTATCAACGAACGGCGCCTGGGGGATTCCTCTCGGGTTCGTGGTCGCTTCACCCTTTCTATATCGCAGATTCAACCTTGTCAGTAACAGCAAATCCAGCTGATGGGGTGTATCTTTGTATCGTACTGGGCGGCCGGTTCTTTTCCTTTGGCTGACATATTGTGTCTATCGTGCAGCGCCCTTCAACGCATTATGAGTGGAAGTAGACTAGGTCGAATCGCCGGGCAGTCCCGATAGTCTATTGTTGTGGCCTCGGTGGGCACCTATTGGCAGCTCGCAGCAGAAAAATTAGGAGCATGGACCATCGAAGGCGGGGGAGGCTAGAAGCTCACCGAGGTGAAGGAGGGGTAAGATTCGGCGTGCAATTAAACCAATCATTCATATAAAGGATACTGCAATTAACCTGTTAATGGAAGGTAACACGGTGCGTCGCGATAATTCATTATCAACAGAAAAACACATCCATCTCATCTCGTACATCTAGTCGAAACTCACTAAAACTTATATACTTTTACACTTCCCTACTACGAATCGTTAGCGCTATAGTTTGTAACATTTAAGAAGGAATTGTCGATCAATATTTACCAAGAAATTCTATATAGATTTACGCTAATTGCATAATCACCTAACTTCATCATCAATTATATTGAACGACATTGAAAGCGGATGGTAACCAAGTCGGATAATAAGCAGCAATTTCAAAATAGAATATTTACTGTGCAAACGCTTCGTTTGATGCACCAACCCGAATAGATTAAAAAGGAAGTGAGATATACGTTTAGGTTATGAGGTAGCTCGCAAATCATTCCCAACCACCCTCTTGAAGTTTTCCGATCCTCTCTTAGATCTCTCTTTATTACCAAAAAGAAAGAAAACAATAGAAAAACTCGCTGCAACGGTCACTATGGGCCAAGGACAATCTCATGACATAGTCCAACTCGAGACTAGAGTTGAAGATCCAAAGAACGGAGAATCCCCAAAGGGTCTTGCTCTCATAGCACATGGCCGTCTCGGAGGAAACTTTGACCAACCGCCAGTTCGCCTTCTCGCCGAGTATCTAAGGGATAAGAAACAGTTAAGAGTCGTCACATGGAACGCCCGCGGAATAGGCCAGAGTGGGGGAGGGAATGAGTGGACAGACTTTGGCGTCTGGATAGGAGACGCTGGGATCAATGACTACCATGTAACACTTCCCTGAGTCCATTCCCCCCATTACTCCGCGGCATAATATATGAGACGTAACTGATCAAAACCTCTGAAACTTATAGCGAATGCTTCGGGAGTCTATGGCTCAATATGTAAAAGACTTCCCTGATGCACAAGGGGCTCAGTTATTCTTATGTGTATAGGCTACCAATCCACTTCCTATATTGGTTTCATAAAGCTCACATAAGTTCAGGGCTACTCAGCGGGCGCCATTTTCGCCGGATGCAGTCGTCCTCCGCTGTCATTTCCCCAATTCGCTCCCGCTCACTACATCCTCATATCATATCCAATAGAACTCAACCCCCTCATCGCCTTTCACAAGTCGGGTTCCTACTTCCGCTCGGTCGAGGCGCTAGTACAGGGCTATGGATGGGAAAACCTGCCCGGCGAGTTCCAAGGTCTCGAACCAGATGTGGCTGGAGTGCTTACCGTCACAGGCCAGTTCGAAGGCGTCTTCTATGGCATGTGGACTCAGATTCTAGGGAGTAAGAATGCTCGAAATATCCTAAGGCAAGTTAGTGTCGAAGGAGCCAAGCATTCGTGGGATGATAAAGCGCCGCGTATCGTTGAAGAAGTCGACAAGTGGTTGTCTAGTATTTAAAGGCATTGATGAGGTATGAGTATCGATCCTAATTTTTCGGATTACCTACATGATGTGTCTCTAGGAAACCGAAGCGAGTTGGCTCGGGGGATTATGGGGCCGTGTATAGCTAATTATAAATGTTATAAATATTGATAATATTCTGGAAGAGCCGAACGAGCTAGAGAGTGACTATGAATGGTCTCAATATGTCTTGAAGGCTGATGTGAGTGTAATTAATATCATAGTACACACTCCACTTATATCAACAAATCAAGACTTCAAAAGGACTCAAAATGTACCGTTTTAAGAATTATGCAGAAGACTTAGTCAATCAGATTTAGATGAACAACGTACATGTAGCTATCTTGCATCTGAGGGCATTGGCCGAGTGTTATTGCCTACCCTTCACTATAGTGATGCACATTTTCATTCAACCCGATCAACTCCTCTTTTCTTCGTTGCCCGCTCTTCAACAATTACCTATATTTCTCCTATTTATAATTATATATTAGTGTATAAATAGAACTGTACGAATACGAATAAACAATAGGCCACTTTCAGCACTTATGTATGCGAATCAAATCTCAACCCGAAGGATTGGTACCTACCTTAGCAATGTAACACATTCGCGTTCTAGAATTGACCATGACGACATGCTTAGCCGGCGCCTCACGGCGAGCGGAGCAAACACGATACCGGTCCGGTCTTGGTGATAGCCCGATTTGTCAGCTAATTGAGACCATCTTGATCCATATAGCTCGGCCTCGGTCTCCTCACCTTGTTTAGCTTCATGATATCATTAGATATAAAGTACTAGTTTGTGCCTCTCTACGGTCCAATTATCAAGCTATATTTTATTACGTTATAACCTATTGCTAGAGTAACGAGTTATCTCATTCGAATTATATATCGTATCCTCGGAGTAAGCCTGCTGTAGTACACCATGACCAATATCAGCGTCAAGATAGTATCGGACACCGTCTGCCCATGGGTAAGTCGCTTCTACAACGACTCAACGGTAGAATACTAAAGCGATTTGATATTTAGTGTTACATTGGCAAAAAGCGCCTGGACCGAGCTATCGACCTATACCGCAAGACGTATCCTGACGGCAAGAATGACACTTTCACAGTCTCCTGGGCCCCGTTCTATTTGGACCCGACTTCGCCTAAGAAGGGTATTCCGCTTGTCGAGCGCATGATCCAGCGCTTCGGCCCGGACAAATTAGAAGCCATGCAAAGGCGCCTGGAGCTGATAGGACGCGAGGAGGGCATCAACTTCAGTTTTAAGAGCAAGATTGGTAACACACGAGACTCGCATCGTCTGATCCAGTTTGGCAAGACAAAAGGCAACGACGTTGAGAACCGTGTCGTGCTGGAGCTATTCAAGTCATATTTCGAGGGCGAGGGGGACATAACGTCGCATGATACGCTGATCGATGCGGCTGAGAAGGCCGGTTTGGACAAGGCAGAGGTGAAAGACTGGCTTGAAACGGGCAAAGGCGGCAAAGAGGTCGACGAGGAGGTACAGGAAGCGTATGCGAAGGATATACATGGTGTACCACATTTCACAATTCAAGGTAAGTACGAGGTCGGCGGAGCAGAAGATCCCCAGACTTTCTTGGAAGCGTTCGCAAAAGCGAAGGAGGGAATTTGAAACGGCGTGGGGCCTGTTCGTCGGGCTTGTCGTAGGAATTGGTGGATGGCGTTTAACTGTATTAGTTAGATGGTTAGGGGTATCATAGTTGTTAGGGTTTATGTATTACAGGTTCAGTAATCCGCCGAGGTCTTCCTCTATCGTCTTCAACCTTCCCTGTAGTTCTCTCTTTTTTCGCTCCAATTCCCGGATTTGTTCCTCTTCTCTTTTCAGGTCTTCCTCAGTTAAGATCTCTTCTTTCTCCATCGTAGCGGCCTCCCTATCATCTTCCTCTTCCTCTTCGTCCATCCAATGATCCTTATTCATCCTACCTAGAGCCTCAGCCTGTTCCGCCACTTTCGCTTCATAGTATGCCAGCGTGCTACGACTATGTGCGTACTTTGATCGTTGCGCTGCTATCCGTTCCAGAGCACCCGGTAAAGGATAAACGCCGCATAACTTCTCTGCTCCCTTGAGTAGAATCTCGACATCGACGTCATCCCTTCCGCTACGTCGCTCGCTCCGGCGAATCTGCTCGTGTAGGTCGCCGCCTAACACGGCTGCCACGGCCGTGTGGCGTCGCGGGGCGCCTACATTTCGACCCGTGTTGCTACCGGATGTCGTGACTTCGCCGGATGCTACATTGAAAACGGTCTGCCGACGCCCGGACTGTTTCGGAGGATCAGGGTTCTGGGATGTGGATGGTGGCGGCGGCGGCGGGACAGAGAAGAGTGCTCGTTCGTGCGCTTCGGTGTCGCGAATTAGAGATGTGATGTCATGGTTGGCTAGAAGGGCATTGGTGAATATCTTGGGTGGTGGGAAGCTTATTTGAAGTGCTAATTAGCTTTAGATGTACGGCTATGTAGGAACACGAATCGGGGTATCGTAAAAAGTACATATACGTACGGAAGACTGTCGATTCCTTGACATGAGATAGCAATCTGCTCAAAATGCGCCGAGAGAAGCGACATGATGGGATGTGTTTACACAGTAAGAAATCAGACGGTTATCATGAATGACTGTGAGTTATTAAAGGGAAGGATCGAATCAATGACTTTTTTGAATAATATTTACAGATTCCGGTCTCCAAACGGTGAAATAAGATAGGAATGATAAAACAAAATAAATATGTCAAACTGAGACTGCGAGTTGAACTTTAGGTACTTTAGGTAAACACGCGACTTCAATGTACAGGTTTCTTAAGTGTTGACCCCTCCTACCTACCGCTTAGGTACCTATGTAGTAACGCCACATCCCCCCACCATGTGGCTTTGTGCTACCCAGCGTACCTATTGCATCGCTGTCAAATTCTAACTCCAACACCATTTTTCTATCCTAGGTAGTTACAGGCTTCATCAAATCTAAGATGGATTTCATGTTCCGGGGTGATCCTAGACTAAGATAATATAAGTCTTTTGTCAACAATATAATTCTCAATTGCTTGGTCTCGGATGAATTGGGGATTTAAAGCTATATACTAGTGCATATCCGCCCTAGTTTCCCATCCCGCCGGGCTTAATCCCTATTCTGCCTCAGTAGGGCAAGTCTAATAAGCTGCGACAAGAAACAAGTGTTTACTACTTTTCAACAAGCAAAATGACGATGGTTAACGACTTGCAGGATGTATGTACTCGTTCCATTCTCTCCCCAAATCATCCAAGTCACCGCAGCGTCGGATCGCCACCTGACAACAACACCACGCATTGTGAACGGAGGGATAATAAGAAAGTTACGATACATTGGCATTATATTACTTGCAGGCCCTGCAGACTTGGGGTATCCCTGACCTCATCAACAGCCAAGCAGTGAATTTTTCCCATCTCCACTACGTCCACTACGGCTGCGTCTCTTTTCTTCTTTCCTATCCGCAGGAGGCAAGACTTAAGATCATTGGGCATAATCGAGTGGCATGAGTGGCATGAGTACTGCTACCTGACCCCTGGTCTATTTTTGATCTTCTCTCGTACAACCTCTACCGTAGCCCCAGGGCCCTCGGTCCAAGCCCTGATACGTCTAGTTGATGTTGATACGTCTAGGCGGGACAAGCCTATTCGCATACGTACATACCTAGGTTACGTACAGTGCTTTGTTAAAGCAGCTGTTAACCAGTGTTAATCAGTTTTGTGAGCGAATGCTTTTTCGGTCAGCGTCCGGGGTCTAACAGGACCGGCTGAACAGTTCAGTAATAACTTGACCTACCCTTCCTAGGTCATACTAGGTCATATTCTGACTGATGACATGACATCCTGCCACAACGACGGTTTGATGCCATCTTGAGATTATTCGCTTTCCTTTTACTATATGCCTCATGCCTCATGCCTCATGCCGCACGCTGAATACATGTCGCATTTTTTCTGGACACGCTATGCCTCCCAACGAAAAGTAACCAGGGACTCCTGGGAGCATTGGTGCCCAAGCCGCAATCTCTGCGAGATCCTCCGCCATAGGCTAGTAGACGAGTAGCTAGACCCGTTTTCTTCTACTCTGCCCTGCCCGGGAGTCCGCAATCTTAGCCTGGCTCAGGTATACCGTTATGTTCACAACCTTATTGTTACATGGATAACAGACTTGTATATGTATTTGCCAGGCACTATAAGACTGTTGGTAGGCCCGCCCCCAATACAAATGCCCCCCCTCTCGGTCTCTGCACACATGAGATTTCTTTCTCATACGTAGCAGAGCTTAGACAGCAGAAATACAAGCCGTCAGAACCTTTAAAAAGTTTCCGCATAATCTTTTCTCTGGGTTTCTCAGCCCTCCGACCCAGGCGACTTGACTCCTGGAGATCCACAAGAGGGTTTATGCGCTACACAGATATTTCAAGCATTTCAAGCAATTTCGTCGAGGGGATAATTTTCTTCTCTCTCTCTCTCTCTCTCTCTCTGTCTCTCTCTGTCTGTCTCTCGGTGGCGCTCTTCTCTTTTATCGACACCGTCCTTCGTCACTAATGAGGACCATTTGAGACTTAGGAGAGTCAACGCCGACAGTCTTGACACGTCGACTCTCAATCTTAAAGTTGCAGCATAAAGTCGCATTCTACCTCCGCGAGACGGTTCCAATCCCATCGCCTTTGTGGAGGAATTGTAGCAGCGGTGTCCGGCCCCCCTGACCTTCTAGAATTCCCAGGAGATTAACATGACCAGTTACCGGAGTCCAATAACTTCTCCGCGTTGGAGGTTTTTGCTCTGGGTGCTGACGCCTTAAAAAAGTCTCTCGTTCACCTTTATCTCCCCCGCGAATTCTACCCCACATTGTCTGATTAAAAGGTCAATTGCATCGATAAGATCACGCAAGACAAGGGAAGACGCAAATTCTCGGGCGGGAAGCGCTCCCACATCAAGCCGACACCATGCGGCCACACACCCCCTCTCTGGACACTGCTCACGTAGTAGCCGCGGCCGCAGGACCTACTTCACCGCCAGAGACGCCCACCACTGGATCTCCCAAGGTCCACCGAAAAAAAGCAGCATTAAACGGCCGCCCGCAGCGGCATTCAAAGGCTCACAGCCACCAAGACCACCCAGCTAACATCCGGCCGCTGGGTGGGACTAAATTCAGCTATACTCGAGCGCCGAGGCCCGAGGAGATATCACCTCGTTCCTCGCATTCATCCGACGATGAATCTGATTCATCTGCAAGCCCCCCGCAGTCACCACTGTCGGACGTACCAAAGCTGCGCCACCAACACGTGGAGCAGCCAAGTTTAATCCAGATCGAACAAGCAACATTTTCCATTGAAGAGTTAAGCGACGACTGTTCGCTTAACAGCGGGTATGATCATATGGATGTTCTTCGGCCGTATGCTTTTGAGTATGCGAATTCGGATCGGAGTCGGTCAAGATCCCGGCCTCGGCCTCCACCGGACATGGATCCGGCTGTAATGGAGGGTATCGAGAATTTAAACACTTTTGAAGACTCAGATGGAGATATCGACCGCGATGATGAAGAATTCATACGGCAACTCCAAAAAACACGCGAGGAACGTCGCCTTAGAAGGATGAAATCGGGAAGTCTTAGCAAGCGAACAGTAAGCGAGCGAGGCAGTGATTCTGATAGAGAAGACGTCCTTCCTTACTATGAAGGAAACGAGACGGGCCCAACCCGTCGGATGCGGCGAAAAGTTGGTGACCGAATTAGTATCCAATTCACGGGCCCGCTTCCCGAACGAATTGAGGAGCTCAAAGAGCCGAACAGCGACGACGAAATCATTTTAGATGATGCCGAGATTTTCGCGAGAGAGTTGCCATATTGGACTCTAATGGACGTTGATTCCGAATAAGACCAACTTCATACGTTACAAAAATATACAGTGTCACATTTGCTTTGAGGAGCAGAAATTAGACCCGAACCGATTTACTCGCGACATTGAAACTTACGATTATATGATACTTTACGAATATGGACGCATTAATGTTGACACCCCGCCAATTGTAATGGAACCTGACCGTCGCAACAGGCTTAGTGAACCAAAAACAGAAAAGTCTACAGCGATTGGTTCTCGACGGGACCAGACAATTAGGGATCGCGGGAGCTGTCATCGCAGCAATATGTATTGAAATTACTTGCATAGAAATTTGGCTACATGGCCTGGGAGACCATTACGGAGGGCTCAGCTTTTCACATTGTTTTTTTCTCATCTCGCTTTTAGATACCTTAGACTTGGACTCAGCGGATGGATTGGGAGCGACCAGGCGATGACGACAATGACGCCAATGATGTAGACGATATGATGATGACGATGTCGACGATACTTGCATAGAAGCGGCCGCTCAGAAGGAGAACCAGGCCGCGCTCTCCTAGGTTATTTTATAGCATATAGACTTTGGATGCATGGATGATTGGTGGCTCGAGTAGACTTATCAGCTTTAGCTTAGGATATCCGCGGTGTTACACTACAGCTACTTGGTTACTAGATAGCTTGTGGAACACTCGATACTTTAAAAAAGATGCGGATTATCTTTATTAGGTATATGTTAGTTCATGATCTATGGCTTCGTTGCCCAAGGTATTTATAGGATCTCTACGAAAGCTTTTCCCAACCCGACTACTTAGACGTTTATACGTTCTTGTAACTAAGGTAAAGAAACAAGAGAGTAAACAAGTTAGCTGCTACTTGATAAATAACCACTAACCACCTTACTTAAAGTTAAAGTTAAGTTGGTATTAAGTTTTGCAATTATACCTGTTATAATTGTATCCCGTAGGCTTAGAGTATATAAGTAAACTGATCACTACATATTATAGGCTAATTAGTTACTATTCCCAAAATATGATAAGCTTAGGAATTGTTGTAGATTGATAGTCAAGATGGCGAGAGGCCTCGTAAATTTATATTAATGACAACCTTTACGATTCATATATGTATGTAGTACCTATGTACTAGACACCCTATACACGTGACTATTAACATATCTACAGCCGTGCCACATAATGTACCTAAGCTTTGACATTATGACATTAGCTTAAGCCACACCTTATCGCTTTCAACGCGTCCGTGCAACTTTCATCAAGCTTCTATTTAATCAAGCAAAACCCCTCCGTCATCTTTTAATTTTTGTGGAAGTTCAGCTGACTCAAATACGAATCCCGTTTCTTCCTCCAATTGAATTGAATTCAATAATTCAATAATTCAATACTTCTTGTCTACCGATTATCCCTAACCACTTCCTAGCCGTCTCCATCAATTGTCGAGGTACACGACTTCCCCTTTGAACCTTACTATTTGCACCGTCAACTATCGCGTAAAAGATGAACCCAGCTCAGGGGCAGCCTGCCCAAGGGCAGAACATGTTGCGACTTCTCCGACCAGAGCAGATGCGTACGGTCAACTACCTCACCGATGACGAGAAACGGAAGTACGAACAAGGGCTTCAAGGACTATACGCAAAGATGGAACAGTACGGATCAGATACTCGAGAGCATCAAGAAGCCAAAGCTAAAGTCGCCGAGTTCTCCCGAATGGTTTATAATAAAGTTAAAACTATACAAGCAAGAAATCAAGCAAGTTCTCAGGACCAACCAGGCCAACCAGGCCAACCAGGCCAACCAGGCCAACCAGGCCAACCAGGCCAACCAGGCCAACCAGGCCGCCCTAATTCACAGCAACAAAATATACAAAGTGAGCAAGCTCAGAGCAGCTTAGCCGCACCCCAACGGCCTGCAAGTAGACCAGCGGGAGTAGGGCCGAGTAGTAACATCGCAACTCCTGGTGCTGCCGCGCCCAATGCCACTCCAGTCGGGCAGCAGGCCCCTCCAGTCGTGCCTAAGGCTCTTATGGATCATGTAAACAAGCTTCCATGGCAAGCTCTGCGGATACCGACCCAGATAACGCCGGAACATGGCCAGAAATGGTTGAGCGAAATGAAACAGCGGTATCTTCGGAATCTTATGCAGATGGAAGCTATCAAGTCGAAAATGACCAGGATGGACGCCATGGTAAAAGAACGACAAGAGAAGGGCGCAATGACTTCGGAGGAGCTCAGGAAGTATCAGGAAAGTAAATCCCAAGATCAGAAGACATACATGGAGGCACAACGATTCCTCGAAAATGTTCGCGGACAGATGAAAGCCTCTCAAAATGTTGGAGCGTCGGGGTCGAGTGCCCAACAAGGTCGACCACAACCCATGCAGAATCAAGCCGCCCACCCTATGCAAGCAGCAACCGCGTCTGTGAATGCAGCGATGGATGCAGCGAAGAGCCAGCAATTAGGAGCCTCCCGGGCAACGGTCCCCGCCGGACAACCGCAGCAGCAACAACAACAACAACAACAGCAGCAGCAGCAGCAGCAGCAGCTACAGCAGCAGCTACAACAACCGCAACCACAACTGCAGCAGCAGCCTCAGGTTCAACATCAGGCTCAACCTCAGGCTCAATCTCAGCCGCAACCACATCAACCACATCAACCTCAGCAGCAACACCAGCAGCAACACCAGCAACAGCATCCTGGGACTCCTGCTACTCCCGCTACACCTTCCGCAGGTCCACAACTTCATCACCAACAACAACAACTTCATCAGCAGCTCCAGCAGCAACCCCAATCGCATCCTGCGCCTACTAATCAACCCCAGATTAAGAGCGAACCTTCCAACAACATGCCGCATCCGCCACCGGTCAACACTGCTCTTGCTGCCGCTACCGCTTCGGCGCACATGCCTTCCGCGGGAACACCAACCCAAGCCTCAGCGCGTGTCCAGACCCCCCAATCTGCAGGGCAAGTGACAGGATCCCAAGTCCGTCCACTAACTCACGCCGCTGCAGTTAACCGTGCCAATTCGTCAACTAACATCACCGGCCAAGCGAATAATTCATCCGGTGGTATTGCGTCAACACCTGGGTCCAGTGGTTTAGTTGGTAACGCGAATCATCCCACTCACTCTCACGCGCACCCACAATCCACCACTCCTGCGATGAATCCCAAGATGCCTATCAGCAAGAACCTGCCCCCCAAAGCGACGGAGATTCCGCAGGCCGTCAACGTTGGCGGAGGAAATACTGCCGGCCGTCCATCGTACGGTGGCGGTAGTGCAACCGGGGGTGGAACTATGAGCCAGCCCGTCATTTCCAAGATGCCTTCTCCCCAGTTCGATGCCGAAGGTGAACACGTGCTGTCCAAAAAGAAGCTCGACGAGCTGGTTCGCCAGGTTTGCGGTGGCGGTTCCCCTGGTGCTGACGGCAACTACCTAACCCCTGATGTTGAAGAGGTAAGTTTATCGTAACCAATAGTAGCGCATGTCCCTCCGTTCCCTATCGGCCTACTATACTAACAAATTCCCTTACTAGTCCGTCCTTAGCGTCGCCGATAATTTTGTAGACAACGTTCTGCACACGGCTTGCCGCCTTGCTAAGGAACGAGGCAGCAAGGTGCTCGAAATACGAGACATTCAGCTCGTCCTCGAGCGCGTTTACAACATCCGCATTCCCGGATACACGTCGGACGAGTTGCGAACCGTGCGCAAGGTGCAGCCTTCAGCCAACTGGATATCCAAAGTGCACGCTGTTCAGGCTGCCAAGGTCATGCCTGGTAAGGATGACAAATAGGATATGTCTCCTACCGCCGGCAGATCTGGAGGACGACGCGTCCCATCACGTGCCATGCCTGCGCAAACGAACCCCGGAGCTTCCACTTCTACTAATGCGGGTACGGGTACGGGTACGGGTGAAACTGCCGCCGCCGGCCAGAAGCGCAAGAGACCGGTTAATGATGCAGGACAGTGAAGGAGGCTTTACCTGTCTATGATACTACGATGAACTGGTTAATTTATCTCTGGTGAGGAAATGGAGTTATCGGTTCGGACGATGTTTCTGTGGTGGTATGGACTGGTTTAGGAAGGGAAGGATGGATTATACTATCACTTTGGCCCGGCGTTTCGACGGGGTTTAATCCCTCTGCGATGATTTCTTTGCTCTTTACACTTAGGCTTCGACCCTAGACGTCACTGCTAGTTTCCATCAGGCAGTAATTCTATAGAGAATGATCGCGGCCAGATGCAACTTGATACTGGCCAATATGCATCGCGATTTGCATTGCTAATACCTGCATAATTTGACATTTTATTTTAGTTAATGTGAAATGTGAAATGGTGATATTCGCCAGTCTCAGAATAGCAGCTTCGCTCTAATCCCGCTCTTCCTAAACATGGTTCGAAGATCGGCAACCAACTCATCGGGCTTCTCGAACGAGGCAAAGTGTCCTCCTTGCTCATGTCTTTTCTCAAATACCACCGGTCCCACTACAGAAGCCAAAAGTTAATAACCAATTTCAAAGAAACAGACAAGAAAATCCAAGAGCCAACTTACACGTCCTCCCCCACGAACTCGGCAGCACCGCCACGTCCATAGGGAAATATGATAATCCTAACGGGACTTTCCCATTCCAAGCCTGGATAGACGAAATCTCGCTTCCTACCGAAACTATATCCTTCTGATGCATCGCTTCGTAGTATAGCCTTAGACTAGCATCCGCGCCGGCCTCGCTGAAGGCGTAGATGCTAACCCAAGTGAGCACCTCGCCGTCCGTCCAAGGGTACGCGTCGGTCCAGTCGACGAGCTTCTCGTATATCCAGGCGAGCAGGCCGACGGGGCTGTCGGCTAGCGCGAACCCCGGCGTGTGCGGCTTGCTGCCCTGGATGCGCGCGTACCCGTTGCCGCTCTCTTGGAACCAGCGGGTGCGTGCTAGTCCGGCTTTCTCGGCGGCCGTGTATAGGCCGAAGGCGTATTGTAGGCAGAGGAGGGGCGAGGAGAGCGGGCTGGGCGGAGAGGCGAGGATGAAGTTTAGGTGCGAGGCTTGTATGTGTGTTGGGTATTTCGCGCTCATGGCGCGTGTGATCATGTACCCCCAGTCGCCGCCCTGCGTTACGTATTTGTCGTATCCGAGCCGGAGCATGAGTTTGTGCTGTGGTGGTCGGAGTTAGATGCTGGTTATGTACTTACCTATGTTAAATATCTGGGGGTTATATCTTCTAGAACTGGTTTGCCCAGGAGGGTTGGGTACCAAGTTCCCGACTTAGGGGGGCAAAAAGGAAAGGGGGAGCTTTATGCTACGTACGCACACCTCGGCGTGTTGCGGTATCCCAAACCCGGGCTTCGAGGTGGCCTGCGAGAAGCCAAAGTTCGGCAACGACGGCGCTACGACATGGAAAGCCGGCTCGTCTTCTCCGGCCCCGGCCCCGGCCCCGGCCGTCAAGAGCGGTAATATCTTGGTGACTTCGATGAAGCTACCGGGCCCTGTTTACCAGTCGTGAATCAGCCAAACTATCTAATAAACGCCCACCATTCTCACCATCCGTAGCGGGGTAAAAGAGACTTACATCCATGACAAAACAACAACGGGATCGCATCTTTCCTCTCACTCTTTGCATGCACAAAATGGACTTTCAAATCATCTTCGTGGCCATCAACCGCGATCCTAGTCGTAAACTGCGGTAACGTATCGTTAAGCTTTGCCTCGGCCTCCCTCCAGTCAAACGTGTCCTTCCACGCTGTCGCCAGTCTCTTCACATCGTCTAGCCGCGCGCCGTAGTCGCCATCATTCGAGAAACTCGTCTCCCGCGGGAACGTCGTCAACGCTAACTTGGCCTTCAGCGTCTCGATAGCCTGGTCCGGCACTGCAATCCGGAACGGCTCTACCGCTGCATCGTCGAAGGAGCTCATGATCGTCTTACTAACTCACGTGCGATCTCTACGGACAGGTGTGGTACATATAAAGTATAATCAAGCGTATACGCCGAGTAGTAGTATAGTCTCTGCTTCTCGTAGGACAACTCGTCCTTTACTTATAGGCATGTTAAGCCTGCGCTCCGAATTCCGCGGCATCCGTCTTGGTAGATGAATTTCCATGGGGGTCTTATATGCACGTATATGCGTTGTCGTACTCGGGTTCACCTCTGCGAGGGTATGATCTACTCGGACGCAGGGGGCATACCATCCTAACGTAAGGATGCGGGAATGTGGTGAAACCCCTCTAAATACGTATATAAAATCCCGTTGTATCTATAGAATTCAGTTTGTATTAACTTCTGTGGCTACTGGATAGGTATCTATTTCTGCGAAGTCGATAACTAGCCCGCTAAGACGACACTTGTTTTTGCTACTTTCATGACATGATAATTGGACGGAGAACCTTGCATGAGTAAAAGAGGTGCGATCTCATTGATAATTTGATGATGACAGCCCATACGGTGGTTGCTGCTGTAAGGTACCTAAGGTAGGTAGTTAATAATCCTATTGTATTCCGTAGAAAGGTAAAAGAAAAAGAAAAATTTCGCAAAAAGATAAATCATCTCTCCGATGAATGGTTGAATGATCGAACCCAGGCTCGAACTGGGGACCTTCAGTGTGTTAGACTGACGTGATAACCAACTACACCATCCGACCTTGAAAGAATCCAAGTTACAATGTACCGGATCCTGTTGTGAGAAATACTCACTAATTTTTACCTATATTCTAAAAGTTGCTGCTGTGGGTGGCTTCAAATGCGACCTACCTAGTCTAGCCCTACGGTTACGGCCCACTACACGAGGATTGCGTCGATAGCCACCAATAAGAATGTAGATATAATTACCTAAGGTAAAACGGCTTCTTCCGGGAGTAACGGGGAACGGCTTAGAGCGAACCTCCGGCGCTATAGTAGACGAACCCTTTTTACGCTGAATACAAGCTTACTAGGAAGAGCCGACGAGCATCGTTCTGTGACTGTTGTAAGTTACCCGAATACTGGAGGCAGCCCTGCGGGCTGCACAATATGCCCGAGTTTACATAATCGCGCACGTGCCATATACTGCCCATTGAGTTACTTTCCTATTTGGGCCATGGAAAAAATTCGACACAACATGAGGGCACCCTTGCGGTGCGCCACAATAGCCCGAGTTTACGAGAGTGGTTAATCACGTGACATTATTGCTGAAAAAAATATGTTGCGTATTTTTTGATAAAAAAAATAAAAAAAAATATATAAAATTATATTATATTATATTATAATTTTTAATTTTTAATTTTATAAATTTTTTTTTATTAATTAAATACGATAACGTTTATTTTTATTTTTATTTTTATTTAATTATATTTATAAATTAAAATAAAATTAATAAATAAATAAATAAATAAATAAATAAATAAATAAATAAATAAATAAATAAATAAATAAATAAATAAATAAATAAATAAATAAATAAATAAAT